ACTTATCCAGCCACTCGGGCAGCAGGTCCAGTTGGCGCTGCATTTTCCTCGTCGCAATCACTGTCGTCCACGTACAGAGTCAACAGTGCGTCTTCATCCCAGTCGGAGGCTTTTTGCTCCAAGGTGGGAATGTCGTCCGTGTACACCGCATACAGATGTGGCCACATACACCGCTGTGGTACACCGGCTTTGATAAATCGTACCGCCGAGTCGGCTCCTTCGACGTGTACGACCAACTTCCGGTCCCGGAGAAATGACGCTACTAACCGCACGAGCGTACGGTGGGTGGTGGTATTTTCCAACAGCTTATGTAGCAGGGCCTCAGCAACCGTTCGAAAAGTTTAGCTACGTGCGGCAGTAGCGTGATTGGTCGGTAGCTCCCCGGAAGTCGTTGGTCCTTGCCCGGTTTCGGCAGGACAATGATCTTGCCGGTTTTCCACTCAGAGGGGAAGTGCGCCGTGCGCAGTACACCTTTGTACAGGCGGCACAGCACGATTAACCCCCTTTTCGGTAGTTGCCTTATCGCCAACGTCGTGATTCCGTCGGTGCTGGGTGCCTTGCGGAGCGCGAGATGGCTCTACGCACGTGGGCCGGAGTGATGATCCTGTCCGAACTGGTGCGGTATGTGCCGCTCGGCTTCCTGGTGGAAAGCTATGGCGCCTGGGGCCCATTTATTGGGCACGAATTGCCCTTCTAAGTGCTCTGCCAGAATGTCAGCCCTGTCTTGGGCTGCAACGTGTTTACGCCCGTCACTGCCCACGAGTGGACAGATGGGTTGAGTTGTTCGGATGAGCTGCCGGTTAAGGTGGTGAAGGCAGGTCTGCGACTCGAAGGCCTGCTCAATGCGGCGCTCCCACCCCTCACCCCTGTACGCCTTGATGGCTGCCGACAGCTCATCCTTGACCCGATTGAGACGTGTCTTCACTCGCGAGCAGCGGGTGAAGACACGTCTCGTGCCCACAGCCTACGCGGGAGTGTGTCTTTTCGGTTCACCTGTGGCACCGCCTTGGTCGCCGCGCGCAATTCTTCCTGTATTTTACAGGTGATTTTGCGCGCGGCCTGCTCCACGTCCTCCGCGGTTGAGATGGGTGCACCAAAACTGAAGTTGGACATAGCTCTCGAATAGGGAGGTGCTGCGTGTCCGCATCGTACAGCACCTCTACCTGGACAGGGCATAGCACTTTGTTGCAGAGCACGATGTCTGTCAGATGATGGCATCCCAGAGAAATCGAGGACAATCCTCAAATGTTATAGGTGTTGACAATGCTTTTAGTTTCCTGTTTGAAGTCGATTTTTTTTTGTTCAAAATTATTTGGCTGTCAGTCTGCGCGCGCATTATATAAATTTTAATCTAATTTTTTCCTAATGCGTCAAAATAAGTATAACTTCAATAAAAAAAAAGACACTAACAACAGAAAAAAGGTATTTAATACATTGAAAGTTTTATTATAACGCATTGGCTAGTTAAATAAAGTTTATTTAAATATCACAAAATAAATATCATGAATCAGTTGTCACTTCTCACGCAACGAGAGATGTCGGGCCGCGAATGCCGAAGATGTGGGTTCGATTCCCACAGCGGGGACAATCTTTTCGTACTTTTTTCTACAAATTTTAATGTTCAATCTTAAGTGCAGAAATTACAAGGGCACTATAAAAAATTTTAATTTCTAAGAAGCAATGGCGACACCTCTCGTTCGAATTATCGTTGTAAAACGATATTCGTAATTGTTTGTATGCTGGAAAGGATATAACAATAGATGCGCCAAGCATTGCTTCAAATGCTAAAAAAAACAATGTTAAGATTTTCGTCGGTGGAGCAATCAGTCGTTTAGCTCAGTGGCTAGAGCGTCGGGCCGCGAATGCCGAAGACTTGGGTTCGATTCCCACAGCGGCGTCAATCTTTTCGTACCTTTTCTACAAATTTTAGAATATGTATAATTTAACTAAAAACTGTTGAAACTCTATAGTAGAATCTATAAGTTCAAAAGAAAATTATAATAAATAGTTGCTACCTACAATATGGTGTTTTTTTTTATGTCTAACTGTTTGAAGTCGTTAAGTGGGCTATATGGTTTACCCTATATAAAAATGAATTATATCGCTAAAACTCGACAACGGCTGGACTGATTTGGCTTATTTTTCTTTTGAAATATTTGCGGAAGTCCAGGGAAATTAAACAAAAATTGGAAAATCGAAATAGGAACAATTTTATTTTCCCATACAAACTGATCCTACATGTCAAACATTTTATACGTGCGTTCCGAAAATTCTTTTTTATGAGTTAAGATTCACAAATTCCCTAGAAGTAATTTATATGGCAAAATTTGCGTTTGCCGGGACAACAAGTACGTAATAAGCGTTACGAGTACATTCTCGACTGATAAGTATCAACACGAGTTCTATACTATTACATTTTTTTTTAACTTAATAATTTTTTGCAAAATAGAAAACTACAAAATAACTGGTTATCATTTGATACTAAGTACTTAGCAAACATCATTTGATATTTTTAAGAGCTGGGTTTCATAACTTTTTATGGAAGTGAGGTAATACCTTGGAAAAAAAGTTATGTTTACGATGGTTGAAAGGAAATAATGAATGCAGTAACCTCCACAACGACGTCAGCGGCAAACGCGCCGCACGCGATCCGAGGCCGGCCGTTTTGCTGTAGTCTCTGCATTTATTTGCGCTCGAGTTTTGTTTACACCTATACTGGCACGTGGTGACGCATCACAACCGGCGCATCGAGTTTAATAAACCATAGCAAAATGTCGACCTTTCTATGTCCTATGTATATTCAGACATGTTAGCCACACAAAAATTTTTCATTTTAACTACTCGCAAAAAAAAAGGTAAAAGTGTCAGTGAGACAGACGGGCCTGCTGTATAATTACAATACATCAGACCTTTATATACGGACAATTTATTTACATTAGAATAAAGAATGTCTTGAAAATACACCATAAGATGTACCGCTGTTATGCTTGCACATTTTTACATTTTAATCACCATTGTTTAATTTCTTCAAAGAAGCAACCCTCTTCTTGCTAATGCATTTAGTACCAAGAGCGCATCTTTGCTTAGTTATTTAAATAGCATCGTATTGACGTAGAAACAAGTTATATAATTTAACCTTCCTTCATAGTCAGTATAATTTATATATTTTACATCAGCTATCATTAATAGCCGCTTCGTATGCATGCATCTATAATTTTATTTATATCGTACATTTTCTGTGAAACATGGCTAAACAAATATAATCAAATGTCAAGGTTCAATCTGATAAAGACATGAAGACCAAATATTAATATAATGACGAAACTGGCGAGATTGCTAGTGTCACTATTGGCGTCTTGGGGTGCACAAAATGTACCTAATGACTATGTTCCACTACACAATCGCTGTGTCCTTTAAACCCTTGTCTCTATTAACCTTTGGTTTGTCGGAACGTAGATCTGCGCGCCAAATTGTGCTTCCGTTGACTGTCGGAACGTAGATCTACGCCAGATCGTTTGATTAATAGTGAGCTATTTGACGACTAGATAGAGTTAATTTTCCGGTGACACTCGATCGAGAAATTAGCGAAGGAATGAATGAACCGTACTTTGATAGCTAAAAGAATTATTACTGGTAAAAACCTATTTATTCTTTCAAAACTATTTCGAATATCTCCATGTTTTCATTTAAATATTTGAATTAATGTTTTTTGTGAAACAAATATTAAAAACCGTAAGTATTTTTTCTTTTCTTATTATTTAGTATATAAAACAAAGATAACGTATCGAAAACTGCAATATTACTAAGAATTTAACGAGATACGAAGAACATAAAATGTATGTATCCGTTCGTCATCTCTCTTTCATTTTCGACTACTGATATTTCGTAGTTTGAATTACACATTCTTATTAACTTACACATCATTTTGATTCTATATAGATATTATAAACAAAATGTAAATTTGAAAAAAACTTTCCATCTAACAGAAATTTCGTTTTCAAATTGTAACGTATAAAAACTTGGAAATATAGGATGTTTATAAAAGTCATTTTTTTTTGTTCTCGGGTTGAACATTACATTTTTCTTTAATTGATTTGAAATTACTCCATCGCTATAAAATTTAAAGATAAGGTAGATACACACAGAACATTTTATCCACTTAGTGTTAATTTACCTATTTTAATGAAAACGAACAAAAATATATTATTGGAAGATAGAAGGGTACACTGCATTTCTAGCATGCAGGGCTAGCCATTTTCGGGGCCAGTCCGTAAGTCGTAGGTGCCGTCACTTACAGACCCTTACCGCTAGGTACGTTCCGTCGCAAATGGCGCAGACCACGACACATCCTCGATTTTCCTGATGATGAGACGACTAATGCCATCGACAGGATAAAACAATAACGCAAACACACCAGATCACACCGCCGGCGAGTAGAAGCGTCGTTGGAGTTTCTTCCGCCACTTTTCCCAGCGGCCAACTCTTTCCGGAATGGTAGTCATGTTAGACCTAGAAATTCTTCCAGTCAGATAATAACTACCGATTGAGCCGAGGTCTGGCCTTCTACGGCACCGTCGAATCGGAAAGCTAAACGGGTATTGAGTGACAGCCTAAGCTGAGATCCCCTCTCGAGGGTCCTTGAGCCTAGTCACTCCATGGAGCGGCCACCAAAGCGCCGTTCCTATTATAGATCGTAACAGTGTGAAATTTAAATTTTTGTATTTTTTTTTAATGGGAAAAAAGCAGCAAACTTGCAGGAGGCTCACCTGATGGTAAGTGGTCACCGCCGCCCATGGACATCTGCAACACACGAGGGCTTATAAATGCGTTGCCGGCCTTTTAGGAAAGAGTACGCTCTCTTCTTGAAGGTTCCCGCGTCGTAACGGTTCGGAAAGACCGCCGGCGGCAGCTGGTTCCACAGAGTGGTTGTGCGAGGCCAGAATAGCCTTGAAAATCGCGATGTTGTGGAATTGTTGAGTTGTGTTTTGCCGCGATGTCCGATGGTGAAATTCAGCCGCCGGGATCAATCCAAACAATTCCTAACACTCCCCGTGATAGATGCGGTAGAAGATGCAGAGTCATCCAACATCTCTACGCACAGCCAAAGGATCAAGCCGATCGGAAAGACCTTGATCGTCAAAAACCCTAGCTGCCCTACGTTGGATGCGGTCAAATGGAAGAAGTTGGTAACAGGGGGCTCCAGCCCAGAGGTGAGAGCAGTACTCCATGTGGGGCCGAATTTGCGCCTTATAAAGGTTTAGGCGTTGAGCCGACGTGAAGTACTGTCTCGCCTTGCTGAGCACACCGAGCTTTTTTGAGGCCAATTTGGCCTTACTTTCCAATTGACCGCGGAACTACACATTGCTCGAGATTTCGACGCCAAGTATTCCGATACTAGATGTAGCAGACAGGGGAGTGTTCTCAAAATGAGGCATAACGACAAATGGGGACTTTTTAGGGGTTAACGCGCAAACTTGTGTCTTATTGGGGTTGAATTGGACTAAGTTTAGTCGACCCCAGTCTGAGACTTTTGTTAACAAAGTCTCGACTTCAGACACAAGTTAGTTCCGGCTCTCGTTGACGTTTTCCCGAGAAATGTTAGCACGGCCAGTGTACGACACATTCACAGTGCTATCATCCGCATAGCAATGAACACTGCTAATTTGCAACATCTCATTGATATGCAGAAGAAACAAAGTGGGAGCCAGTACGCAGCCTTGTGGAACACCAGCATTGACAAATTTAGGATCAGAGCATGCACCGTCGCCAAAAAGCTGGTGATCCATTTGCATAACTTCCCGGGAAGCCCATAGGAAGGCAGCTTCGAAAGAAGTGCTTTGTGCCACACCCGATCAAAGGCTTTCGCTATGTCCAGACTGGCTGCAAGCGTCTCCCCCTTGCTCTCAATTGCTTCTGCCCATCTGACCTCGACTAAAGCCGTACTGGCGGTCGCTAATCACCTGGTGCTCCTCTAGGTACCGCAGGAGCTGGCAGTTAATGATGATTCCATTATGACTCCATTATTATTAAAGGCCTGTAGTTGGACGGATCCAAGCTGTTGCCTTTCTTAGGGATCGGGTGCACTAAAGCGGCCTTCCAGGATTTCGGGAATACGCCTAGAGTATCAAAACCGGTGCCAACTCCGGAGCTTTGGCGAGAGACCAAAACGTACGTGTTCCCGTTGGGAGACGCGCCAATCTCTCGCCAATTCTGCCAATGTGTTCCGATTTCGCCTTAGCAATAACACTTTTGAAGGACTTAGAGGCAGAGTTATACTTCTTTTTTAAAGCGCTGGTTTTTACATCACTTGACGTCAAAGCGTCAGCCCAAGCCAGGTAGCAATCCCGCTTATGCGGCGTAATGCCAACTTACAGGAGCAACCAAACCAAGGCTGCGACTTGCCACCAATGGGCACTGCAGAGAACGGAATAAAGAGTTCCATACCTTGAAGCACCACATCAGTCACTTAGTCAGCAACGACGTCTGGGTCATCCGGCGAGAAGCAAATCTGCCCCCATGGGTAGGACAAAAAGAGTGTCGAGGCGACGAGACCTTTCTGACGTACACGCACACCCCAGCCCGCGGCACAAAGGAATGTTCCAGTTTGTACCCCGGGTAGGAGAGGAATGAGGTGTCAGCTGAAGAAGATATCTGCGTCTCGGTAAGGAAGAGCAAGGCCGGCTTCGCCGTCTCAAGATGGAAGTGGACGGCGTTTATGTTGGAATTTAGCCCCCTTATGTTGCAAAAGTCCACGGCATGCGAGGAAGGGGTGGCCTTATGCTGGTGGTACCCTCCTGGGGTAGAAAATTTAAGGAATTCCCCGGGCGTGCCGGCCCTATTCGGCTGCTACCCGAAGGTGCGCAGCATGACACTACCACTAGTTGGGTTGAATGACTGCACTGGTGGAATAATCTCTGTCACAAGATTATCCCACCAGCGGGCGATGGGGTCATCACGTCCCGACGCCAGAAATTGTTTATATGCTGTAAAGGATGGAAGAATAAATACACCAAGCTATGCTTGGAATGCGAAAAAACAACGAAGATTTTTTTTAGTTGATCCTGTGTTGTAAGGACGTTTTACAAACATAAATTTCACGCGGACAAACACCCAGATCGAAACAACTATCTGTGGGTCACACAAAAAGTTGTCCCGTGTGGGAATCGAACCAACGACCTCCGACGCCGCAGCCAATACCTTGGCAAGGAGTCATTAATAAAATCTTTTTTACTACAAATTTTAATGTTTCGTCTTAAGTGCCGAGAATAGCACAATAAAAAATTTAAATTGAATTTTTTTTGGAAGTAGGAAAGAAACTTACTTGAAAATTGAAACATCCTCTATAGTCATATAGTCAGTGTCGGAACGTAGATCTGCGCTAGTAACGCACCAATAAATTATGATATTTATAAGCAAATTTCTTAAGTTTTATCAGAGACACACATTTCATTTATATTTATTCAAAACAACATGTATTCTGTTTTCATAACATGGAAATAAAAAAACTAAAACGTTTATCATGAATTACTTATTGATATTTTTCTTTAGGATGTCGTATTTATTGATAGCTTATAGTAAGAATTGCTTCCAGTAAATAATACAAACATTCTACAAAGGCAAAAATGTAATAACTGTAAAGTTAAGCCATCCATATAGCTTCAAAATAAACCTGAATCATATAGATTATGGTTTTCACTAAAAATACTGTTCCGAAGAAAGACGCAGTTGCAAAATTGCGCGACTGTTTTTCACCGACAGACAGCGCATTTTTCATAGTGCGCTACCCGACAGACCAAGGTTTAAAATTTGCTGTGGTAGGGCCACGCAACAGTATTCACTGTTGTACGAATTTGCAGGTCCCTCCGGGTAAGTGTTACACTTCTGCGTATCGTCTGGTGAGTGATGCTAAGTGATAACCGCCACCCATGGACATTGCAACACCCGTAGGATTGCAGATGCATTGCCACCATGTAGTAAAGTGGGCCCCGGCTACCTCACTCCCCAGAAGAATCACAGAAGTATTTCACTACACGCCGGTCTTCTCTGACGTGGTACTGACCCGGACACTATTGCGTGGTCCTACCACAGTTAAATTTTAAGTCAACCGGAAGTGCTCTGTAGGTTTTAATTATCTTGCGAGTTTCAAAATATGTATTATAAGCTAACGGCCATATCTTTTAATTTAATTGTCTTTAGAATTTCATTTATTTACAGATACAATGGATTACAGCCTTGAATATTCATTTCAACCAGATACCTCCACCGGTTTTTGAGAAAAAGGTGGTTTGACGAAGTGCCCGTAATGCACTTTATCCTTGAGTTAGGGGCCGTCCATTAATCACGCGATGTTTAGCATTTTTGAACCCCCTTCCGCCCCCCCCCCCCCCCCCTTGATGATACGTGATGAGGATTAAGACTAAATCCCCCACCCCCACTCGCCCAAAAATCACATGTATTTTAGTACCTACAAAGGATATTAAAATTTTTAGAATATCATCTTTAAATACAGGTATAAAACATAATCCAGTTTTTATTCTAAATTTAAAGCCACGATTCAAGTTCACGCCGCTTTTCAGTTAAGAGATCGCTCGTTTGTCGAAAGAATAAATACACGTGATATCTTACTACACCTCCCCCTTGTGATTATTGTCAAACCCCCTCCCCGCGCCTTTCGAGCCTCAAGTGTTTAATGGACGGCTCCTTATGGAACCCTAAAAATATGCAAAAAGTTACTCCTTTTTTTGTAATTTAATAATTAGTGTAATTGCACGCATAAGAATAACAGGAAACAATATAATAATGAAAACTAGTAGTACCTAGTATTATAAGTTTTATTAATACAAAGCGTATAAAACTTGTTCTTCTTAATCTCTCAATATGTAGATTAAAATTATTTGTTTTTACATATTATATAATATGAAAAAACAAATATTTTTTTTATATATTATATAATAATGAAAGGTCTGGTGGTGACATTTAATTTAAGACACCAAATCAAAAATTTTCCTACTTTTAATAATTACATCCCATCCATTACGTCTGATGGTTACTAATGCACGAATCAATTTAATTTATCGTTATTGGCAAAAGCATAACTGTTTCCTGCAAATAAATACTATAAGTCGCGCCAAACTTAAAGGCCGCTTTGAGTGGCAGTTATTTTTGTGTTTATTGATATTTGCGCTTTCAATTTGTTGACTGTATATAAATATTTTTGTATATCTTCATGAGGCTTCAGGAGCTCGCGGAGAGGCTAACAGGGTCACGGTCCCTGCAAGACGGACGCCGATGCCTCGGAGTCGACAGTTATTGTGTTCAAGTCCATCTATAATGTGAGGCTATTCATGAGCCGTGTTCGAGGGTTGTCCAGCGAAGTCCAGCACTAGCTTGCCCCGCGGGCGGCCCTGCGCCGCGCGCGCGTACGCCTCCGCGGCGCCCCACCACGGGAACACCCGCTCCACGGCCACTGAAAACTGCCCCCGCGAATGACCGAAACAAACAGCCCAGCAGCCAACTCAATTCATCCCTCTTCATTCTCCACCAAATCACAGATTTACATTTAATTAGTGTTCACAACAACAAATGATGCCCATTAACACGTCAGTAATTACCATTCGCCAAGTACACTTATAAATACATTTATTTGCATATATTATTCCTTTCATTATAACACAAAGACTTATAACAATTGTTTCTTTTTTAATTAATAGAAAATTACATGAAATAATTGCAATAAATTGCAAAGTGCTTCAACCACACCAAGGACGCGATTGCACACTGTATATATTATACACGTAATATATATTATAGCATAAGTAGCATCAATTGTGGAAATTATGTACAAATAATACAATTGTTAACATTTCGAATTAAAGAAAATAATTTGAATTACATATATCGTAACTCAGCAAACCAGTATTTGAATGAATTCATTAGAACGCACAAGGGTCTTCCGCACACCTCCTTCGTTTGTCTCTTTCCCTCATTCGTTCCCCCAACAAATACAGGATATTAAAAATATAATTGGTGTTAAAAATGTTTTCCATAATTGATGAGATTTTTTTTATTATTGAAGCTAAGTGTTGTTTGCGAACATTACAAGCTTATTCTGTCCTTACATATATTTTGTTTGCGTATAAAAGTTGGAATAATAATAATGTATGCAGCGATAAGAACGTTGACGACCTTGATTAAAATAAAAAGGTATAGCAAATTTAAATCTAAAACAATTTTTTTGGAGAACAGATTCAATTGCCCGCTTAAAACAATCTTTTCCGGGCGCTGACAACAAACTGAGGCTTGTTAGCCTTGTGCAACAGTGGCTCTAAAGGCTCTTGTAGCTCTACCGCTTCCACGACCGTTCCATCCGCCAACCCGCATGTCATAGCCTCTCGCTTACTTCATCACATCGCCCATAAGAGCAGGACGTCTAGCATAACCTTACATTACATTATATCTATCACTGCGAGGGTGCTAGTCATGAAAATAAAATAAGAAAATTATGGACATTGTATTTTTGAAAATATTAGCCATATTAGCAATCTATATAATCGCATTTTGTTCCCCCGTGCTTTTCATGACGGGTATCGTTCCTCCGAGTTTAATCAAATGGGTGCAGTAATGTGTAAAGTTCATTGTTTCCTCTTTTCCAATGTAAATAATAAAAATGACCTCCTCCATATGAAATAGCTAGAATGGGCCAATCCCAACATCCGAGGCGACTGGGACCGCTCCGCCCTTCGAGCTCAAATGCAGAAGGCGGTGCTCCTAGACACGCGCGAATTGTCCGCCGCTTTCTCTCTCTATAACCCTGACCCTAGGCCTTCCGATTATTTATGTATTACATACAAAATATGTATATCTATATGTTTACTTTTATTTATAAACCCAACCAGACGAGAATACAAGTAAATATCCCACAAATGAAATAATATTTCAATACATATTTTACTCAACTTTATCTAGTCCCTAACTAAGCAAAGCTTGTACTGCGGATACTGGGTAACTGACAAACATAGTAAAATGTGCTTTTTATTATGGATATATAAACACTCAGACACAGAGGATCGAACCCACACCCTCAGGCGCAAAAGACACTATCCTCTACGCCGACCGGGTAGAACCATCCCAAAGAACATTTTGTACGTGTCAATTATATTATGCTTACGAATTTTAATGTAGTCAGTTGAAAATGAATTGCATTGTTGCAATGTCGCCGGTATTCGCGAAGGCGAAGTATAGCGGTCAATGCCAAGTGCTAAGCTAACTGTCCGTTGCATCACTATAGGTTCGCTTCTGAGTGCAAATGCCGCAATTGCATGATACTTCGGACAATACTTCCGGCTTCATTAATTCATTTTTTTTTCAATCGCAACCGACGGACGCACCGAGTCATAATAGCTGTGCCAAAGAAGCGTCGAATGCTGAGTGAGGGAGGTTTATCGTCTAGGGTCGGGGAGGGCGCGGCTCGCTTATGGCTTTAATTTGTACCAAACTTTATTAGTATTGCATTAAGGCGATGTATGCAGTGAATTTTTAACTATTTGGGTGGTGAACTATGAGGAAGCGGAGGAGGGGTAACGCGCAGCGCGCGAGTTTCGTCAACGCGCCGCTAGGCCAAGTCATTCATTGCTTAGTGTGTGTGTAGTGATGGGCCGTAGAACACTATCTATTTATTTATTAGGTCTACCAGTAGATGTTACATTAAAAACAATATTACATGAAATATGAATAAATGTTACAACTAAATGTACATCTAATTAAGAGGCAAACACAGCATGCTTAAAAATTAAAACAAAAAAATTAATAAAAGTTAAACGAAAGTGTGAACAAAATATCGTTAGACGTACTTATTACTAAATAAATTAAAAAGATTAAAAAAAAAAGCAGATTGTAATTTTATAAGGCAAGACAAAAAAGGGTAAAATCTATGAAGAAATTTAAGTCATGTGGTATATGGTATTGTTATAAATGACAAATGTGTAACGGGTGATTTCATCACTTTGTCGAAATAGTCGTTTTTCTAAAGACTAGGCTGCATGTACTATGAACCTTTGCCTTTTCGAAAGGTCGAATCAAAAAGTTAACTTCATTTGGTCGTACTTGTCATTTGCGATTGCCGCCGGTTCTAGTTGACATTGGATAAATTAGTTTTTGTGGATCTATTATCTTCGACCGGTAAGTAATTGCTTTGTTTCGTTCATGCCAGTGGTTGTTTTGTTTACGTATTTCGATTTCTTATCAATTCGCTTTTTTACAGTGCATGGCTAGAGGTTGAAATCAGAACACGTTCCTGGTCGTATTAATTGTGATTGCTGTCTGGGAAACTCTTTGCTGGATTTGTTATCCCTCGTGGTGGATGCTGAAGGCATAGGTGGCTGGCAAGCTGGTCTGATCTGCTGCTCAATTAAATATTGTTTTTTACCTCCAGTTGGAGGTCTCCTACTTACCCCCCAACAGTGTGGCTGTACACACTACACTTGGCCTGACTTTCTCTACTGGCTCTGAGCTCAACGCTGACCTGTGCACACAGGGCAGATGTCTGCGGTGACATAGATTTTTAAATAACTACGTGATTGGACTTTATTTTTTAAATTGAATTGCATAACTTTCATAATCTTAAATTAATTTAATTATCTAACCTTTTTATGGTCGCACGAGGTAATGTGTAGGTCCTATGTACTCACGACTCCCTGAGATACTTAATTGTATTTATTACAACAGTCTGTTCCTAACAGACAAGGCGCCCAACTCATTATTATTGTTATATTTTGAAAATATATTGTATCTGAGCTAGTCCAGGGATTGTAACATTAAACTGAAGGGATAAATACACTTTTTTAACGGCTAATAAATCTTTTATTAAATCTTCCCATCATTATCTAGACACCCACTATAAAAACGTTACAAATGTTAGTTTACATACAACATCAAACAGAATACAAATGACTTATACAAATAAAAATTACTTAAATCTTAGCATTAAAATAAATTTTAAAAGCTTCTTATTTTAAGATATCCATTTATTTTACTCCGAAATACTTTTAATGAGTCGAAAATGAATATCAACGGTTGTGGTACATTCATTAATTAAATTAGACAGGCGAGACACTGGTGAGTTTTTTCCCAGAACTGTGCGTTTAATTTGCGGAGCTAAGAGAGCGATAGCTTTGCGGGGATACTTGCGAGGTATACGGTAGTTAAAAAGAGCAAGGAGTTGTGGACAGTCAATATGGTTACGAAGTACCTTATATGCAAACAAAAGATCTAAGATGTCTCTACGATGCGCTAATGATTCCATATTTAAATGTGCTAGTTAATCTTGGTAGGACATGGTTTTGTAGGGTATACCCTCAGAGTAACATAGATGCCTTACGAACCTTTTCTGTATACGTTCAATTAGAAGGCTATGAGTAGCGTAGTGTGGGCGCCACACTACACTACAATATTCCAATGAACTACGAACCAAACTATAGTATAAAATCTTTTTCGTTTTAATATCCCTAAATTGCTTAGCATTTCTGATGACAAATCCTAGCATCCTTGAACTTTTTTTCATTAAATTATCGATATGGGGTATAAACGTCAACTTATGGTCTATAATTATACCTAGGTCCATGGCACAATTTGTTTGTTTTAAGTTCTCATTTTCTATATGGTAACAAGACATAATTGGATTTAATTTGCGTGTAAAAGTTATAAAATAACATTTGTCAGTATTAAGTCGCATTTTATTTTTAATGCACCAGTTTTTCAATGCATTTAAATCATTCTGTAATAAGTAGACATCTTTTTGTGATTCAATTACTCTTAAAAACTGTAAATCATCGGCAAACATAAAAGGCGTGGAGTGTTTGAAGCATTCCGGAAGATCGTTTATAAATATGTTAAAGAGAACTGGACCTAAATGCGAACCTTGTGGTACACCAGTAGAAATTTTGTAGGAGGAGGAACAATATCCGTTAACAGCTACAAAGAAATCTCGATTCTTTAAGTATGACGAAAGCCATTCCAAAAACTTACCAGAAAAACCGTATTTGGAAAGTTTATGAATTAAGAGCGCATGTGACACGGAGTCAAAGGCTTTAGAAAAATCTGTATATATTACGTCAGACTGCTTATGTTCGTCTACTGATCTGATTACTGATTCAATAAAAGAAGTTAAATTAACAGAAGTGGATCGAGAAGACGTAAAACCATATTGATGAAGTGTAATAAATTTTCTGAAATACTCCTGTATGGCTGGACATACGAGGGATTCAAATACCTTAGCGAAACTGGATAATATAGATATTGGTCTATAATTAGAAACAAAGTTTTCATCTCCTGTTTTATAAATTGGAATTACTTTAGCTTTTTTCCACTCTTGTGGAAACATTCCAGTTGCAAGGGATTCATTAAATATAAAATGTAATGGCGTCAAGAGATTAGTGGCACAAGATTTGATAAAAATTGGTGGGATTCCGTCTGGGCCTGCCCCCTTATTAACGTCAAGATTCAATAGTTTTTTAGCTATAATTTTTTTATCCAGATAAAGGAACGAGAAACAGTCGCCAGCATGTGCTTCTAGTGAGTTTTGAACATTCTGCACTTTCTGACTACAGGCTACTCTCACATTAGAAACTTCTTGATATGCTGAGGAGAAAAAGTTTGCAAACAAAGAGGAAATTTCAATGCCAGCTGATTTAACATTAACCCCATCTGTTATTTGAGTAGGCCAATTACCGGTTTTGGAACGCTTTGATTTGATAAAAGACCAAAAATATTTGGGATTACTTTTTATCTTATTTTCTGTATCTTGTACATATTGTTATGAACACACAAAGGAACTAACGCCATCTAGCGTCAACTATTAAAATCACTAAAGAACAAAGACGACATAAAACCCCCTATTCAATACTAGATGGCGAAAACCGGGTACATTCGCGAACTTTCCGGAATCACGAACATGTTCGGGCGTGTCGGGTACGTTCCAGGAAGGATCTTTCTGGATTAGTCTGGAACCGGTCTCGGCCCATATAAAAAGCCGCGGGGAGGCGAGCGAATACAGTTCAGTTTGAGCTACCTTCGAGGCGACTTCGGAGTGAAAACTAGTGATCAAGAGCGATACCAGTGAAACCTACGACTTGACTACAAAATAGGACATTGTTAGTGCTTAGTGTTTGGACCTAGTGCTTTGTGTTGGACCTAGTTCTAGTGAATAAAGTCTTCAAAAGAGTCAGCAGGTCTTTCTCTTCAAATCCTTCGAACCCCTAACACGTAACAATATTTATTATACCTATACGTACTGTGTTTTTTACATCGTTTAGTTAGCAATTTGCAAGATATTTGATCAAGTGGATTATTATATTTTAGGAAACGTTTTCTGTATTTGTTTTTTTCTCTAATCAGACCAATAAGTTCTTTGTCAAACCGAGGAGGAAAGCTTTTAGAATTTCTGGGATGTAAAAGGGGTACAAATTTGTTGATAGATTCATTAATTATGCGGTAAAAAATACATACCATCTCATCAACATTTTTACATTCGGCGAACAATGAAGGCCATATTTGTTCTTCGAGATATTCATTTATTAATTTATAGTCCGCTTTTCGAAAATTTGATCTGCATGTTATATTTGAGTTTTTAGGGAGGCGGTGCTTACCGTATTCCAAATTTATATCTAATGGTGGGTGTTGTGGATCGATAACACTATCGACAGTATCATGGAAGACTTTCGAAAATGTACACAGATTGATCCCTATAATATCTTTTATAAGCCATAATTGTATTTTACTTTTATATAATAATAGGAATATTATAATATAAATTACCAAATATAAAGTATGAGAAAGCAATCAACAATTTTAGAAAATCTTCCTGTTTATTATAATTTTTTTAATTAAATGGAAAAGGAATTGATTAAAATTAAATAAATAAATCCTTATTTGTATCGATAAACGACAGCAATTATAACTAGAATCGAAATTTTGTGACTGCACAGACCTCGCGTAGCCTGTTGGTCCGAGCGTCATACACAACGATAAACTATTGCTGTAGTCCCAAGTTCAAACCACTCATCGAGTGGAGTTGTATTTTTTATATTATTTTCACTTTTAATTTGTTAGCCAACTAATTATTTGGTTTTATTTTATAAAATGGCTCAATTTGGGAAATAAACAAATTATAAAAAAAATTATAAAATAGATATATTATTAGCAAGGCGCCTCAGCGCTCTCTGTTCAACGTGTGGAGTTGAAAGAGAACCGAAACAACGCCGCGGTGGCGCGGTGTTTTGGCCATCGCGTTCGAATTAATTTTAATGAATTAAATTAATATTTACAAATATCATACTTCAATAAACAAATTAAGACAACAGTCCTTTTTATTAATATATTCTACACCACTGAGTATAATTATACACATATGTAGTTACATTTACTTGCCGACAGACGTCGCTGTTCGTAGTTAAAACGTGCTATTAATTGTACTCTGGCGGCTTATATACGTTATTACCAAGGTATGTAAATTGAGTTCAAAATCGAGTAAATATACGAGTTGTGTTAACGTGCAAGTGTTTCATTCTTAACATTGGTGCCGAAACCCGGGAGAAAGAGTGTAAAGTGAACACGTGACAAATTAAAGTGAGTCGAGAATAGTGCAATGCAAACGTGTGCGAGTAGTGAGTAATTTGGACCCTAAAACCGTGAGTAGAAAGACTAAAGAATAATCAGTGTAGTGTGTGAACTTGTAAAAATTTCGTAAACTTATTCTATAGACTTAGAGCAATCGGTGTAGTGTGGACTTGTAAAAATTTTGTAAACTTATTCTATAGACTTATAAAATTTGTGTAGTTGGGATTTGCAAATTTATTTTATGGACTGAAAGAAATCTTATTATAAAACTAAATCATATAATCACTAAAAAGGAAAAATGGACAAGTTAATTAAAGGGCAACAAGAGTTGTTTGAGCAATTGAAAAAGGCTGAGCGTAATTTTAAGAAAGCAAATCATGAAGTTCGAGCAAAATATAGTTATTTAACGGCAAGAATGGAAGCGTTGGATAAGTTGGAGAAAGCTTTCAATAAGAATCATCTTGAAATAATTGCAAATTCCGATGAACAGTTTGAAGAGCTTAAATATTTCCAAGAAGACTGGCAAGATGATTTTCAAGAATCTTATATACAATATAAAGCCCTGCTGAATGAGTATCTGGCATTCACTAATCCTAGACCACAAATGATTGATACAAATGAGAGTACCTCAACTAATCTTAAAGTCAATAGTCCAGAGGTGCAGTTACCTAGAATTCAACTACCCACTTTCTCAGGAAAATATACCGAGTGGCAATCATTTTATGATATGTTTGTTTCATTAATACATGAAAACCAAACACTCTCGTCGGTTCAAAAACTGCACTACTTAAAATCGAGTTTGTCTGGAGGACCGGAAGTGCTTTTAAGAAACTTTCCTACTACAGCGGCTAATTTCAAAGAGGCATGGGAACAATTAACTAGGCGCTACAACAACAAGAGATATAACTGTAATGCAATCATGAAGGCGTTGTTTGGGCAGAAAACAATACAAAACGAATATGCGAGTGCCATCAGACAATTACTGGACACAACGACTTCTTGCCTAAAAGCCCTGAACAATCTTAATATTAAAACGGAACAATGGGATGCAATTATAACTTATTTAGTAGTTTCAAAGTTGGATCCAGAGTCACACAAACAATGGGAAAATTTTATAAGCTCTACAACTGATGATTTACCTCAATGGTCTCAACTAGTACAATTTTTAGAAACCAGATTTATAAGTTTGGAGATGCTCGATACCAGTAAACAACCAATGAGTAATGAGATTAATGCACAATCCAAGAGTTTAAAGGCTAAAGCGTTTCATTCAGCTGTGAACGTGAAACAGAGCTCATCTGAGCAGATCTGCGCTTTGTGTAATGGCTCACATTACATATATCACCGTGCTCAATTCAAAAAGGAACCAGTACTTGAAAGACAAAATATTGTACAAACAAAAAGGCTTTGTTTCAATTGTCTTGCGCCCACACATCCAGTATACAAATGTCATCAAAATACAACATGCCGCAAATGCAGTAAAAAACATCACACTTTACTTCATTTCGAGAAAGAAGAGAAGGAAGCATACAATACATCTAGGCAAAATACGTCAACCACTTTCAACAAGGCGTCAATCAAACTACCTCAGCAGCCAACGAAACAACTGTTGTTACTCATTTTTCAAGAGGAGATCTGAATACACATATTGTGTTGTTAGCTACAGCTGTTGTAAAATCTATGTCCAGGAATGAGTCTTATGCTATTAGAGCATTGCTTGACCAAGGATCGCAAGCTTCTTTTATTAGCGAAAATACTGTACAGTTGTTAGGTCTTAAGCGTATAAACGTTAATGGTAGGGTGTCAGGTTTGGGAGACGGTCATATGATAAATAAAACATTCGGTTTGTGTTGAGGTCGAATCACGCCATAATCCTGGAAAAATTATACGCGTTAATGCATATGTATTAAGATCGCTAACATCATTATTACCAACTCATGAGTTACGAATACCCAATTGGTTAGAGCTGAAAACTTTACCCCTTGCTGACCCTGAATTCGCTTCACCAGGAAAGGTTGATTTGTTAAAAATAACATATAATACAGTCAAACCTGGATAAGCGAGAGTTCAAGGGAGCACAATCTCATTCTCACTTATAGAGTTTTCTCACTTATCCAGTTCTCACTTACCCAGGTTTGACTGTATATATAAAATATTATAACATTACATGTTCAAGTAAGAGAAGATGAGTTATTGAAAAGATTTTGGGAGATAGAAAACGAGCCTAATAGTATTGAGAAAAAATTTACAGAAGAAGAGAACCTATGTGAAACATTTTACAAGGAAACCACTTCAAGGCGTGAAGATGGAAGGTTTATAGTGAGATTGCCTTTTAAAACACTCGATCCACAGTGTCAATATGGTCGTTCAGTAGACATTGCCATTAACAAGTTATATTCGTTAGAGCGAAGATTGAGTAAAAATCCGTCACTTTATCAGGAATATAATAAAGTTTTAGAAGAATATACATCCTTGAATCATATGAAGCTGGTTAATAATGATGATGTTAAAAATCCTAAAGCTGTATACTTGCCACATCATGCAGTGGTGAGAGAAGATAAAGAGACAACAAAGGTCCGAGTGGTGTTTAATGCGTCAAGTAAAGGTGTAAATGACGTGTCTCTTAACGATGATCTTCTTAAAGGCCCTAAACTCCAACAGGATTTGGGTCACCTTTTACTAAGATGGCGCATACATCCCATTGGTATCGTCGCAGACCTGGTGAAGATGTACCGGCAGGTGTATGTCCATGAAGATGACACAGACTTTCAAAGGATTTTGTGGAGAACTAAACGTGAGTTACCAATTCAACATCATAAATTACTTACATTGACATTTGGCACCGCTTGTGCGCCTTATCTTGCTGTAAAAACCTTACAAACACTGGCAGAACTTGAAAAGGATAAATATCCATTAGCAGCGGAGATTACGCAAAGAGATTACTAAGTTGACGATTTAATGACGGGTTGTGAAACCGAGAGAGATGCATTACACATATACGAAGAAATGTGTAAACTGATGAGAGCGGGTGGATTCGAGTTGCAAAAATGGAGTAGCAATAGCCAAGGCTTTTTGAATCACATAGAGAAACACAAGTTGAATGCCGAACAATCTGTTATAATTAAGGTTGACAATATGATGAAAGTATTAGGAATTTGTTGGAATAGGTGTACAGATAAGTTTGAGTACTTGTTAAATCTTACTGATCCTGAAGGGCCTATAACCAAGAGAAAAGTTTTGTCGGATATTGCAAGACTGTATGACCCCATCGGGTGGATAGCTCCTATAGTAATTACGGCCAAGGTGTTTATCCAGAGATTGTGGAAAGAATGCCTTGACTGGGACAATGAATTGCCTACAAATCTGCTGTCTGAGTGGTTAGAATACCGACGCGAGTTGACGAACGTTAAGGATATATCAATACCCCGGTGGTTGTGTTCAACTAAGGAGTCTAAACTGGAACTCCACGCGTTCTCAGATGCATCAAGTGTGGCCTATGCGGCTGCAGTTTATCTTAGAGTAGTAGACGAGAACAAGCAAATACACGTAAGGCTTGTCACTGCCAAAACTAAAGTAGCACCCATAGAAAAGGAGGTGTCTATACCGCGCTTGGAGATATGCGGGGCCACTCTAGCCGCAAAACTATTAAATGAAATTTCGCAGGTATTGAGCATACCTAATAAGGATTTATATGCCTGGACAGACTCAAATGTGGTATTGGCGTGGCTACGAGGACCTGTGAATCGATGGGCGACTTATGTAAGTAATAGAGTATCACATATTCTAACTATTATGAATTTTGAGCAATGGGGATACGTGTCAACTAAAACTAATCCCGCTGACTGCGCATCGAGGGGTCTAAGAGCGATAGATTTAAATAAACATAAAATATGGTGGAATGGTCCTAAATGGTTATCCAAACCAATAATATCTCTTAGGAAGCCTGAGGTTATTGAAACTCATGAAGAAGAACGAATAAAATCGTTTTTCGTCGAAACCAAGACATATCCTGACTATGTGTGGATGAAATTTTCAAATCTTACAAAACTCTTAAAGGTGATTTCGTTCTGTCGCAGGTTTATTAAAACATGGTTACCATTAAATGAAAGGAAAGAGTTTCCTAAATTTATTACAGTTGACGAGATGAACAAACTCTACAATTATGTATCAAACAAGCTCAAGAACGTGATCTCGCAGAAGAAATACAACTAGTGAAGACAAAAGGCTCTGTCTCAAATAGGAGCGTGCTATACACTCTTTATCCATTTTTAGACAAAAATGGAATTTTAAGAGTAGGTGGACGCCTAAGCCAAGCTAATGTGAGTTACGATCAAAAACATCCAATAATTTTACCTGCTAAGAATCACCTTAGCCAGGTAATAGTTGATGATGCTCACAAAAGAACGCTTCACGGCGGTCCGCAATTGATGTTGAATTTTTTAGGGTCTAAATATTGGATAGTAAGAGTTCGTGAAATGGTTAAAAAGTGTTACAGAAATTGCGTCATTTGTTTAAGACATTCTAAAGCAGCAGCCACTCAGTTGATGGGTCAGATTCCGGAAGTCAGATTAAAACCAAGTAGACCTTTTAAAAGTGCAGGTGTCGATTACGCAGGTCCCATTAATATCCGGTTTTCTCTAGGACGAGGAGCAAAATCTTACAAGGGATATATATGCTTGTTCGTCTGTATGGTGACTCGCGCCATCCATTTAGAAGCGGTAACTGACTTAAGTAAGCGGCTAAAGGTTTCATAGCTGCATTTAGGAGATTTGTTGCACGTCGAGGTCATTGCCAAGATCTCTACAGTGATAATGGTACCAACTTTGTTGGAGCTGACGCAATGTTACGTAAAATGTTTGACAATGCCAAATCTAACCTAGCTGATGAAATAAGAGAATTACTGATATTAGAGTCAACAAAGTGGCATTTCATACCACCGAGTGCTCCTAATTTTGGAGGAATATGGGAAGCAGGCGTACGGTGTGCTAAGGCTCATTTGAAACGGGTAATAGGGAACAGTACTTTAACCTACGAAGAAATTTCTACAGTGCTAGTACAAATTGAGGCATGTTTAAATTCCCGACCATTGAGTGTTCTTAGTGATAATCCAAATGACCCTCTCCCATTGACACCTGGTCATTTCTTAATAGGAGAACCATTGTTAAATATTAATGATGTAGATTACTCTGATGAATGTGTTATTGGTTTAGACAGATGGAAATTTACTCAAAAAATGGTTAACTCATTTTGGAAAAGATGGTCAAACGAATATTTAAGTAATTTAAATCAGAGAATGAAATGGTGTACTAAAAAGCGTGAAATTGATATCGGAGATGTCGTAGTATTAAGAGAGGATAACATTCCACCTGCTCGATGGATTCTAGGAAAAGTTATAGTTAAGCACGCCGGACCAGACAATGTGACTAGAGTCGTAACTGTAAAATGTAAGGGAGGATCTCTTAAGCGCCCTGTGAGTAAACTTTGCGTCTTAACAAAATCATAGAAGGTCAAATCACATTGTCACGGTGGGCGGTTTATGTTGTGTCATTATTTACTAATTTTTTTTCTTGTTAACTTTTGTATTTTTTATATTTTTTACCGTTTTCACATATTTACTTTTTTTTTTTTCATTATATTCTTACCTTAGGTAAAATTATCCTTGTGTAAGTTGTTGTAAAGGACAAGTCCTTGGTGGGCGGAATGAGTAAAATTATACACATATGTAGTTACATTTACTTGCCGACAGACGTCGCTGTTCGTAATTAAAACGTGCTATTAATTGTACTCTGGCGGCTTATATACGTTATTACCAAGGTATGTAAATTGAGTTCAAAATCGAGTAAATATACGAGTTGTGTTAACGTGCAAGTGTTTCATTCTTAACACATTAATTTCATTAAGATTTGTTCATTTATTATATCTATTTTATTATTTGAATTTCACGTTTAAAGGTAGGTTCATGATTTTTGTCTATCGAGAACATGTTTTGAAAACAATGGTCCATTAGAATGTCAGATCAAGATTAACATATTTTTTTTGCTTCTATATAGGGATGTTCATGTAAAAAAAATATCGATATTTTTTCCATATAATATATCGTAGTGTTGTATCGATAGATTGCGATATATCGAACAAATATATCGATATTTTAAAAATATCGTAAGTTATTACTTGTATTTAACTAGTCTATAATATTAAATAGGGATCAGGTTAATTTTGAGTAAAAACAATTTAGTGGGAAGATACGGCCATACGACCCAAAAGCCATGTTCAGCATCTGCGCATAAAGAATAGCAGCTTTTTCTTTTATACCATACCAATATGATAGATTTATAAATCGCAGTACTTTTTCTCTAAACCTTGCAAAAACAAAATTTTATTTACCCTTTTGGCTTACAATTTGCTTCTTTGCTGTGTAAGAACCTGTGCAGCTTTTGAGAAAAGTCGTTCAGATGGAACTGAGCTAGCCACCATAGTTAAATATTTAAGAGACACATTGTATAACGTTGGGTACTGTATTTTATAGTCTGCCCACACATTTAATCGGTTTTCTTTAAATCTACTGACTGGAACCCTCAAATAAAGCGATAACTCATCTGACAATGTTGCAGATTTAAAGGAATAAGTCTTAGAGAATAAGAAGATATAAAGAACAAAATGGAATGTGACACGATATTTGGTATATCGGATGCAATATATCGATATTACATTCGATACTAGATGATTCGATAATATCGGATTGAAGCGATATATCGTGTACATGTATCGATATTATTTGAAATATTGATTTATATCGCCCAGTACTACTTCTATAAAATATATAGATTTTGTTTAAAAAAAATTTGAAAAACCTATTTTTACTGCATACAGCGCCGTAAAGTGTAATGGGTGTACAGGCATAGTACGATATAAAGTTATAACTGATTCGCCCAGAGGTCAGTGTTGTTAACTGCAATACTTGGATTTTTTTGTTTTAGCTTTTTTTTATAGTTTATTTGTAGTATTTTGTGGTATAGTGATACTGTTTGTTGTTTGACTCAATTATAGTATCAACATTCACTCGGAGTTGTGATTATTACTATGCTCTGTGAATTCAGGTTGGCTGGGGCTCGAGGAGCTTAAATTTAGGAGAACGAAGATATGCAAACGACAAAGTGACGCACCTTGCCGGCGTCCGCCAGCCGCCGCAGCAGGCGCGCGTCTGCGGCCGACGGCGCGAAGAAGGCCCAGCGCACGTGTGGGGGGCAGCCGGAGGGGCCGGGGGAGGGGCCGTCCGCGGCGGCGGCGGCCGCGCTCTGTTGCGCCAGGCGCAGCGCGGCCGCCGCGCCGCCCAAAGCCAGCCCGCGCTCGTCCGTGAGCCGCAGCAGCGGCGAGCTGAGCGTGACGAAGCGGCCGAAGCGCCAGCCGCGCGCCGCCGCGCCCTCGCCGCCCACGCCCGCGCAGTCCAGCACCGCCTCGTACCTGCGCCGCACCGAGTGTGATTCCATGTTCTTCCAGACTATATCTCGATAGTTATGTTATTTTAGAGAGGTGTCGATATAAAACGAATCGTCGCTTCTGGCAACTCCAAAAGACGGAGCGATAAGCAGCTCTACACGAGTTAATATTCCTATCAACAGGCACAGCTATCCCTAAGTCTCACGGGCCGGCCTCCCGGAGACTCCGATCGTAGTCGGCGGCGTGACGGTCGAAGGCGGCGGCCGCGCCCAGCGCCAGCGCGCTCTCGCACTGCTCGCCGGCACAGCCCACCACCACCTGCGCAATGGCCAATGGTGGGTCGCGATTCGTCGAGGGGTCGCGCTTCGCGTGGACGAGGCGCCGGCAGGCCGCGGTACCTGCGCGCCCGAGTAGCGCAGCAGCTGCAGCGCCGCGTGGCCCACGCCGCCGAGGCCCAGCAGCAGCACGCGCTGCGCGGCGCGGGCGCGCGGCGGCGGCGGCCGCGGCGGCAGGCCGGCCGCGCGCAGCGCCGCGCACGCCGACAGCGCGGCGTAGAGCGCGCCGCCGGCCGCCGCGTCGGAGAGCCGCGCCGGCGCCTCCGCCACCCAGCGGTCCCTGGCGAGGACGAACTGCGCGTGCGCGCCCTGCCAGTGCGGCGGCACCACGCCCCACACGCGCCGCCCTGCGCGCGAGCGGCACTCGGCGCCCGCCAGCACCACCTCGCCGCAGAAGTCGCGCCCCACCACCAGCGGAAACTCCACGTCCACCCCCTCCATCGCCCGCAAGGTGTTCAGCACCCGGGCGCCGTACCCGCCTGCAAAATGGGATTACATACGAATCGATAACGCTCGTTTGGCGCACTCGATTAGGAACGGGCGTACGTGTCGCGCGGTGTGGTGGTGGATCTAATTACCTCCCTGGGCAATTTACATACATCCAAGACTGAGCGAAGACCTACTCTGAGAAATGGTTGTAGGACAGTGTCCACGTATGCCACGTAGTCCACGTGAAACGGACAACTGCGTCCGGCGAAGACGTACTGACCGAGCATAGCAACATCGATCGGGTTAATGGAGGCGGCGTGCACGCGCACCAGCAGCTGGTCGGGCGCGCGCAGCGGCGGCACGCGCGCCTCCTCGAGCCGCAGCTCGGCCGGCGGGCCGTAGCAGTGCGCGCGCCACGCCGCCATCCGCGCCGCGCCCGCCAGCGCCGCTGCCGTCTCGCGCTGCATCCTCCTTGCCTGCGCAAGTTGTGGTATTTCATCTATTTCCTCGCCTCTATAGCTTAGTGTCCATGTTCTTATCACTACATAGTCTAAAAATAAAGTCGTCCCGCTGTCTGTCTGTCCCTATGTATGCTTAGATCGTTAAACATACGCAACAGATCTTGATACAGTTTTTTTTTTAAATAGATAGAGTGATTCAAGAGGAAGGTTTATATGTATAATACATAGCACCCTTGCGAAGCCCGGGCGAAACGCTAGTTTCAACATCTTCAAGCAACCTTAATTGAAATTCCATAGTTATATAATCTTAAGGTCAACTATTCTAAAACAAAAATAACAGTGTTTAAACAAGATCAAGTACTGCCAATCTCTGACTCACTCAATGGATATGGAAAAGTCAGCAAATTTGTGTACCTTTGGTCACTGGTATGTAACAATGGTAGCGACACTTATGATATTTGTTGTAGAACCAGTATGGCTAAAAAGTACTATGACTAGATTCGAAAAGATATGGAAGAACCGTGGTATTCGAAGTGCAACTATGGTGAGCTTGGTATCAGCATTGGACTTCACTATTTTCATGTACGGTTCCAAAACATGGAGTATAAGAAACTAAAATAGCTGTAAGATCAATGCTTTTGAAATGTGGTGTTGTTGTGGGATGCTCCATATTCCTTGGGCTGTCATTACTCGATATTAAAAGAGCTTAACATAACAAAGTTATTTTTGTTTAAAATATGCAGTTTTCCTTCACCACCAAGCATGTGATAATTCAGCACTTAAAAGTAGAAAATTTCATTGGTGCTAGCACCAGGGATTGAACAGGAATAGAAGCTTTACCAACTAAGTATCTAGCTAGGCCAATGGGGGCCATTCAGCTCAAAAATTAGACATCACTTCATCTACTGCACTTTTAGCTATGCTTTGTGCCATCTAGTGTTTATCCTTTACAGTATGATCTTTTACAAACTGTAAGGGATAAACCGTTAGACAAATATCATTTAAGCACAAATCGATGGCTCCTAAGTAAACTGACCTAATTGAAAAAATCTAATTTTACAGGAGAGCAGTTTAAAGTATTCAGAAAGGTATTTTGGGTCGAATCTTGTAAACTACTGAAGCCATTTTTTTGAAATTTTGCTATAAGTATTAATCACATATTGTGTTATTTATCATGCTGAGACAAATTTTTGTGTTATTTAAATATATTTCGAGATTTTCCACTTTTTACATAGTTGATTTTCTTTTATTCATATTTTATTATTCCACGTAAAAAGGCTTTTGTGATTTTCCGCCCATATACGAGAATCGGTATTAATATATGTCTTTAGACTAAAATTCTTATAAAAATAATAATATTAATTATTAAGTAAATAGTAACACCTAAGTAGTGAGGGCGGTATCTTAGTAAGGCGGACACGCGTAGTAATATTCGTTAAGTATGAAATTTGTAAGATATTTTTCATAAGCTACGAAATATAATGTTTTGAAAAAAAGGAAGCATATGATATACCGAAAACCGAACTATGTAAAAAGGCAGATGGTATTTTAAACCTCTATAGGTTTTGTAGTAAATTAATAGTTATAAAAATATATTTAGTGATAATGAAATAAATTTTTTAACTCAGCATAGCTATATAGGTATCTGTGAGGTTGTGGTACTTACCCGGACGGTCCTGCCCATTGGTGCAACAGCCAAGGCTGCTGCGTGGCCCTACCACGGTTAAAATTAAAAATTACATAGGAGCCATCTAAATATTTGTAATGAGAGATGAGATGTCGCCTTTTTCTTAAAATTCAATGATTACTTCCAATGTAGCATACATTGAAAGTATTTATTTTATTAAGTCTAGCACTAAAAAATAGCTGTCACCTTTGACATCACACATTCCAATTTAATATTTAATGGAAAATGTGATTTGAAGTAATGTCATTTGGATGCATTGCTAAAAATGGATGAAAGAAAGTGAATAGGTGTTGAGATTTTCGATTTGTGAGTCCATCAGCCCTTTAGCTAAGTAGGGAAATCGTTTAGGCGCGGTTCACGCCTAAGGACGCGGGATTGAATCCCGCAGCACCAAATGTTGTTCTCCATTTAAGTAAAAAAAATTTTTGGGGGCCATAAATTATTCAATGTACCTACTATATCATTAAAAGTCAAAACATCTTTATTCAATACAGGCTATATTAAAGCTCTTTTTAAACATCAAAAAATACTAATCCGTTCACGAAACTAGACCTTAACAGAGAAGAACTAGCAAGGAACTGCAGTCTCGTTATCTCTTTTTTTTGTGATAAAATGATACATTGCTAGTATAGTATACGTCTAATAATACATAATCAGTGATTTTCTAGTCGATAATATGAGACTTATAAAAGTAATGGAACAGAAAATACATGCACCTATAGCTCAATTTATCCCACACAATGGATTGTCAAAAGATTGCCTTACGACTTGAATAATTGAAACATTCTTTCTTTAGTAAACATTGAGCAAGTTTGTAAATAGGAAATTAAAAATACTCACGACAAATTACTCTTTTTTGTTATTGTAACGCTAGTACGGTAACATAGTACACTGTAAAATTAAATCATTTGTATATTATAATAAGTTAAAGTAAATATAGCTTTATTTATAACCTCAACCAATTCTGTTAAATTTAAATTTTTATTTTTTATTTTATTATATGACAGCAGTTTCTCAGTAATAAATTAGTAATTACCAAGGAGGTTACTCTATGGACGACAGTCACAGTCAGTTGAGTCCAGCGTGACCAGATTTAGTAGATTTCTACTTTTTTGGTAGATTCAGAGGTACTGGCAACAGAATTTAGTTTGTAAAAATTATTTGGTCTATTTTAGTAGAATTCACGCTTTTCAGTTATTCTAGTACTTTTTTGGCTTATCGCATAAATGCGGGGTATTCCCCCTTTCATAGAATGGATTGTTACTATTTAATTTTCATTCTTTTGGTCGTTTGATTCGTGCCGTGAGCATAGAGTGTGATAGACTACTGGGAATTCCTTTATTGACAAGTTTTGCAAGTTACTAACGTTAATATGTGGAATGTAATTCTTAGTTAATTATTCTTGTTAAGACTTTTTTTAATACTTTCGACTTACGCAGTAGTGTGAACCTGTTGTTATGTTAAAAAAACATTCACTGTCAACTGCTAGTTAGATGTCTGAAGTTTTTGGTGGATACATTTTGGTGTGATGTCAGCCAAATCTGTGATACTAATAGCAAACCAAAGTATGGCAATTTGTCCCGATTTGTGAAACAAATGACGATACTACCTTTGGCAAACGCCAAAGTACAAAGAATATTTTCCGATATTAATAGGATTAAAAATTAAAATCGAAATCAATGTAATAAGAACAATGTTGCATGCAATAATGCATGGAAAAGAAGGGTTCCGAGGGGTCAGTTGGAAGGAGGATGTAGGAGATTTGATCGTGACAGAAGAATGATTATATGGACTCAAAACAGTTTGACGACAATGTTACCCAACATACAGGTGAAAAAACTTTAAGTTTAATTTTATTTTTTTAATTATATTTTTATTTAGAATTAAGCTTAAAAAAACATTGGTTTCTTTGTTATTTTTATTACTTTATCGTTTAATCAAGATAAATCATGTTTATAAGTTACAGGACAGCAAAAAAATATACTAGATTTATGATTTTAGTATTTTTTCATTCTCTTTTGGTAGAATTCAGTAGTTTTTAACCTCTACAAGCAGTAGATTCGTCAAATAAAATCTGGTCACGCTGGTTGAGTCAGTAGCAGTAGCGATATGGCCGTTAGCGACTTAGTGTTAACCGTTAATTAGTTAAATCAACGATTGATCCACGAATCAAAGTAGGTACTATTAACATTAACCCTCCATGAAATCAACAAGTTGAAATCGTCAAGGACGCTTAGGAAATTATAACGCCCAGTTTCTGAAATACCTATCATATACATGATCACACATATGATCATCATTCGATCATTGTATCAGAAACGGGGCGTATGTTGTTTAGTTGAATTGACATGTTGAACTTATTAAACGTGACGGAGTGATAAATTAAAAAACTGACGTTGAAAATAACGTACCGAATATTTGATAATTGTTTGACATATTTTTAGAAAAATTTATGCTATTTTTTTTAATTAACTGATGTTTTGTGCTTTCAGTCCCGAGACTATTAAAGCTTCATCTGACGCAGAACCGGTGAGCTAGCCAGTACCCACGGGTTTGGGCCCTCCGCTGTGGGTAGGGCCACGCATGTGCTCATGCGTGCGTTTAACTACGACATGTCATCTAAGGGCCATCGAAGTTGCGGTGCGGAATGAGACCCCGATGGCCGTCGACTGTGATTTTAGCTAATCGGTGGCTGGGGACGGTGAGAACCGCCCTGGAACGCGGGTGTACCTTGTGTACGCGTTGTGTTGGTCTCGCCGTGCTCGGAGGCGAGGGCGAACTAATGTGTTTGTTACTACACTAACTGTGTGTGTAGTGTTATCCGGCGGGAGTTTTACGCTATAGTTTCTTTATTTTTACGAATGACACACTTTAGCGATCAAAGTCAGGGATTATTTTGTTGCTTATCTTAAATATTAACAGAATTTAACTTCATGATTAAGGTGTTTTCTTTTGTAAATGTATAAATAGTATATAGTGATTTTTAATAATATATAAGAGTAAAGATGTATGTACTACGACATCTGCGAACATCTATTTGTGTGACACATTGTCGGACGTTGGTGGGAGATTTAGAATTACATTTTTTTAAAAGAACGCCATATTTTAATTTTTTTTAAATATTCATTATCATGGTACATTGATAAAAGAATATATGTAAGAATATTATGTATAATTAGATTCTTTTATCAATGTCATGGTAGCACTCAAAGAGAATGTAATCACTACGTTTACTACTACTGGTAGCACTCCTTAAATTTTCAGTGTCAGAGGTTTTGTCAGTCAGTTGCACGGATGCCAACATATGAGTTTTCTTCCTAAATTTAGGAAGACAAAATTTACAATGTACGTTTTTAGGAGGTGAAATTTTTGGGAATATTTTTAGGAATAAAATTTTATTCACATTTCTGAAGAAAAAAAAGCTACTGATACTTATTCCAATTATTTATAGCCTGAGATTGCCAAGTATATTACTTAAATAAAACAGTTTTGATTACTCAGATAATTAATTTTTCCGATAATTATTCTACCTTGTTAGATAATTTAAAAAAAAAAGGTGACATTTTTCATTTAGGAAGTTTTTTTTAAACAGTGGATTTTAGGAGGTTTTTGAACATCTTTAGGAGATTTTTTTTTCAACAGTTGGTAGCACTGGCAGTTGTCACATCACATTCATGTAGTTATAATATCTATGCCTATGCTCATATATAGGTTAGGTTAAGCATTATTATCCAATTTAAAATAAAAAGTGAAGTAATTTAAATTTTGGTATAGGACTTTTTTAAAATGTAATGAAGTTTTGGTTTTTATTTAATTAAGCAATGGGTATTTTAACTGAACTTTATAGAAAAGCTAGAAAAACTTGTGTTTTTAATAAACGTGCAAATTGGAGTGATAGTGTTTTTAGAACTTTTTGCAGTAAGGTACAGGTAAGGTACAATACACCTGTTCTTTAAATTTAGCAAGAATTTGACACGGCATCATATTGCAGGAAACTAAATCGGATGCCCATAATGGAACTGAATGGCCGCGACGAATTGTCTCGGGTCTCCAACCTACCGGCGAGCTTCACGTAGGCAATTACTTTGGTGCACTTCGTCGTTGTGTGCGTCTGCAAGAACAGGGCGAAGATGTGATGCTGTTCATTGCCGATCTACATTCATTTACTACTCGCCAGGTTTCTTTTTCATATTTTGTTCATTCAAATTCAAACTTCTACTTATCAAAAATTCTGTGCTTATACATATCAACAATATGGTACTGAAACTGCCTGCGTCTAAACCAATAAAAATGCAATTAACAGTTTCATTGGTGCAGATGCAAGAGTTTGAAATTATATCAAAATAATCTGTGTAACTCAGTGACTAGAGAATCTGTTGTGTGTCCAAGAAGTTACAAATTCAAATCCTCGCAATAGTGAAAAATTTTATCTATTTTTTTTCTAATTTTAAAATTTTTATCTTATATAATATGATTTAAAAATACCTTAATTACTCATTGGTATTTTTCAATGTTTTTTTATTTGACACTGTTTTTATGAGTTTGCTCACTGCTTTGTTATACATGTAAGATAATACTAGTTTTACATCTTTAATTTTGAAAGTATATACAGTTGTTATGATAGTTTTGTATTGATCAAGTCAGACAATTAACAGTGTGCATGAAATTGAAATATATTGAGAGCCATTGTTTAATAACAGTATACATGTTATTTTGATGAATCTTACATTGGAATGTGGTGCTGTATGTACTATCTTTAGGTATTGAAGAGAATCAAAAATATAGATGAATGATATTATGTCTATGTCTATTATTTTTGTTTTACATAATAGTGGTTTAGTTTTTATAATTACATTTAAAGAAGCAATAACTAGTTTTAAGTTGTTCATTATTTTATTATTTGTACTTATATATTAATAGTGTGATACTTTAAAAAAAATACAAAAATATTATTTTTGTCATTTGCACAATAAATTCAATTACCATAATCTTTTATTTCTTAACATTATATCTGTGCACCTTCTTGACTTTCTCTAGTTTGTACATAAAGTCCTTTGTACTAGTTTGTGCATAAAGTCACCTGAATTTACCATTCATTGCTGGGTGTTATGGAGTGCAGAAATCTATTAAATTCTCTCAACTAAAGACCCTACTGTTGTATGAAATTAATTTTTCTCTTCAGCATATGACAGATATCTTAATGTCTAAGAATATGGATGTACATAATGTAAATTCTAGGAACAAACACAAGCTTGTAACGCCTGTTACTTGACTCCATAGAGTCAGTAACTCATTCATGGGATGGAGTATATATATGGGAGGCTCCTATAACTTGGCAACTGTTGAGTTTCTTGCCAGTCTCTTCTCAACAGAAACTGCTTTCCGAACAAGTAGTACCTTACATTTTTACTTATTTATGTAAAATTTGACGATTCGTAAGCATGCACAAGCATCTATTTGAGTAAAGATATATTTGATTAATTGACAACAAAATCCCAGTTAATGTGCAAAGCCTATCTATTAATAGGTTCATGAAATTTATTAAAGAAAAACTTTTAAGTACCACAACCTCACAGAACACTGGCGTGAAGTGGAAGTATAATACTTTAGCGTTTTGTCTGGTAAATGAGGTAGCCCGAGTCCCATTTACAAAAAGGTTGTCAACATCTGTAACCCTCGGGTGTAATAGATGCCCATGGGCGGCGGTATTCACTTAACATCAGGTGAACCGCTTGGCAACTTTTCATATAAAAAAAGATGAAAAGAAAAAAATTACCATTGATGGATGAAATGTAAATTTCTCACTTAGATGAAGAAATGATTTGATTTGATTTGTATGCTAATGACCTGGTGGTCCAATACTGGAAGCCTTGAGGCAAGAGACCTTAAGATAGCCTATTCGCCTCACGCAATAACCCAAAACGGTTTGTCTTCTTGGCGCAAAAAGAGTAAGAATGGTATTTGAATTCTTATAATGAGATAGGTTTTCACTTCTGCCTTTGAATAAAAGAAGGAGTATAGGTGATGCTTGTATAAGTATACTTTACAACTTTATAGATAACATCCTTGTTAACCAATAACTTCCTCATTGTTAGTTAAAACAACAAAATAACTGCTGCTTCTAGCTGGTTCAAATCTAATTGGGTATATGCTGTTGTACAATCTAACTATCAATACAAAAACAAAAACCTATCTGTAATTTGGTATGAAGTAACTATTTGTGATTCATGTGTTTTATGTTATTGTAACTTTGTACATTTGTTTTAACAATAATTATTTCATTAATGAGATACGATTGTTTTTTCAATGTATTCCCAGTTTTTTTTACTATAAATGTCAATATATAGTTATATTTTAAATTCTCCGTAATATTGGTTTTTGGGGGTCTAGGATCCGAAACAACTGCAGGAGCGCACACTTGAACTGACCGCCCTCGCCCTGGCGGCGGGGCTCGATCCCGAGCGCAGCGTGCTGTTCCAGCAGTCGGCAGTGGCGCGCCACGCGGAGCTGTGCTGGCTTCTGGCCTGCCTGGCCACGCACGCGCGCCTCGCGCATCTCCCGCAGTACAAGGAGAAGTCCGCCACTATGAAGGAGGTGCCCATCGGCCTGCTACTGTACCCTGTTCTTCAGGCGAGTGACAAGTTTCATAGTATTTAATCTTTATGAAATTGTAATGACCTCTTGAAGAGATTCAAAATATATTTCAAATATCAATAAAACCTCTTCGCAAATCTTTGCAGTGGGTCGACACATAATTATAAGTATACACTTTAGGCAGCGGATATTCTGGTGTACCGCGGCACGCACGTGCCCGTGGGAGCTGATCAGCTACAGCATTTGCAAGTAGCCGCGCAACTGGTGAAAACCTTCCAGCATCGCTATGGACCTGCTTTTCCTACTCCACGACCTCTGCTACCTGGTACGTCGTAATATTTACCAGTGTTAAAACGCCATTCATGAATTTTGCAACATTTTATCTTCAATATTTTTTGCCCGCATAGTACAAGTTACCGATACCATTAAACAGTTACACGACTACAGGTACGACGGCCGTCACGTTGTCGTGAGAAAAACTCCTCCGTGTACACCCTCCTCTTGTAACACCTCTTCTTGCGCTATACTTTACGCTACATGTTCACTTCGCTTTCTTCACTTTTCCGTTTCTCTTTTTATAGGCTTAATTTCGATCTTTAGGTCTAAAACATTTTAATGAAGCAAGTTTAATTTCATTTAATAAGAACATTTTTTTATTTGACATTAATAATTTATATTTACAATCATGGCATCGAACCCCATGACTGTTACAATAAAAGACAATTATGAAAAGTAATATATACATATATAATAATATATATACATATATAATAATAATATTATATATTTATTTCAGATAATTTTGCAATCTATACATATGTTAGTAAAAAGGATAATTAAATTTATTGTTTATGCACCTTCAAAAAATGCTTTTAAAATAGTTAAATTATAATATAAGTGTTTGCGATCAAGGTTCGCTGATTCGAACAGGGTGGCGCTGTAGAGGTGTCGTTGCGCATCTGTGCAATCGACGCCCAATAATATTTAAATCCGGACTTTAGGCCAATCATATTCAAATGTCAATATAACCGTTAAAAATTGTTCCTCTCCCTCTTATCCTCGAATCTTGTACATTAAAAGTGATTTAATCGCAATACAATTTTCATAACGATCGCACGGTTTTTAATTCTGATCCAAAGCCTAGGAAAGTAGACACGCAGTCAACCTACACGCCAATTATTCGAGAGCATCAACAATAAGTATTTAAATTTACTGAGTTTTTATTTAGGTAGAGGCAGTTAAACAATTTTTCTATGTTAAACAAGCATGTTGTTAACTGGACACGCTTAATTTAACTTCTTTTTTTTGTGTGCCTAGATGTAAGTAGGGTCTGCTCAACATATTGTTTAAATGGTTCGGCCAACTGCCTGAATCCTCGTTGAGAACAAACACAGATTCAGAATAATTATCTTAGGGTCACACAAATACTTGCCTCATTTGGGAATTGAAACCGCAATCCCCGACGTACAAATCAATAGCTTAGCAACTGAGCCATCAAGTCCTCTTAATGTAGTTTTGTATGTATTCATTTTAGACCGTGAATAAACGTTTCTTCTTTCTTTCTAATTTGAAATCTATTATATTATTGTAATTTATCTAACAATATATTTCCTTAGATGATGGCAGCGACAGAATTAAAAGCCTGCGTGATCCTTCAAAGAAGATGTCAAAGTCTGATCCAGACCCTAAATCAAGGATATTATTAACAGACTCTGATGATACAATCAGACTTAAGATAAGAAAAGCTGTCACAGACTTTACACCCCAGGTCAGTCTCATTTGTAGGATTTCTATTCTTAAAATATTGGATACATTTAATGGCTTCTCTAAATAAAACTATACAATACATTAATTATGTGCTTTAATTTTTTAAAGTTGCAAATGCTTTTCAGCACAGTCAATCTAAAAATGGTTACAAAGCATAAATCTAAACAGTTTTTTTAATTAGTAATCAATTAACTCAAGAATTTGTCTTAAACTCTAAGAAATTCGGTATTGGGATATTTAATTTTATTTACAAGACGTCCGGATGAAAAAGACATTAATAAAAAATCCACGGGCACAGGTGACATATGACCCAGAGAATCGTCCCGGGGTGTCGAACCTGGTGGCGCTGCACTGCCTGGCGAACGGGCTGGTGCCCGAGGAGGCGGTGGAGGAGGCCGAGGGCCTGAGCACGGCGCAGTACAAGGGCGTGGTGGCGGAGGCGCTGTGCGGCGCGCTGGGCCCGCTGCGCGCGCGCGCCCTCGAGCTGCGCGCCCGGCCCGAGCTGCTGCGGCCCGTGCTGCGCCACGGCGCCGCGCGCGCCCGCCGCCGCGCCGACCGCGTCTACGAGGACGTGGCGAGCCTCGCCGGCCTCGCGCCCCCGCCGCCCCCGCTACATTCGCACGCACTGCGCGTGTGCTAGCGCTCTATTGCTGCATCTTATTGTGAATAATACACTAGCTTGGAATGTTTCCAGTCAATTGGTGAAAGCATGTTTTTGTTAAATAATGTGCACGAAATCGCTATAAATCAACACATTTTGAGCATGGTGCTAAAGTCCGTAAAATATTACACTCCTGTAGAATTGACGATCACAACTGTCGGAACAGTTCGCAAGTGGCACCACGCACGAAACGATGCACATCACTGTCGATCATAGACGATGATGGTGGTGGTGCTGCTGCTGCTGCATGGCGGCCATAGAGTGGTCGGGCGCGGCGTGCACGACGTGCGTGGGGTGAGCCACGTGCGCCACGTGGGTGGGCGGCGCAGCGTGGGCGTGGGCGTGGGCGTGGGCGGGCTGCGAGCGCTCCCTCAGCAAGGCCACGAGATCGCGCAGCAGGTCGACCGCCTGCGTGACGGCCTCGGCCTGCTTCTCGGCGGCCAGGGCGCTGCGCATGGCGGCCTCGGCGAGCAGCTCCTCGGTGCCGAGGCGGCCCTCGCCCCCCGCCGCGCCCGACCCTTCCGAGTACATGTCGTCGTCCAGCGCCGGCTTGCGCTCCTCGTCAGAGTTGCTGCCGCCGCGGCCCGCTCCCGCTGCACAGTTTACGGGTTTCATTAAATCGTCAAATTATTTTAATTACAAATTGAAATGGAAAAAACTTCATGACTTATTTTGAATCTTTTAAGTAAACGTAAAGTGCATTGTCCTATCGGACAGTACAGTATACAGAGTTTCACTCGATTTACATTATGGGAGTTACTATGTAAAATTATTGTTTTTTTTTTAATTAACTATAAATAAATAAATAAACAAATATTTGAGATGTTTTTACAAATCATTCTCTAGTCTCAAAAAAAGAAAGACTTTTATTATGGCTATTAAATAACTGATAAACATATTTAAGCATACGATTTTTATTGTAAATAAATACATTTTCTAGATAAATAAAAAAAAAATACCCTGGCAATGGAAGATCCCTATTATATTCATCACACAATATTTTGCCAGTGGTGGAACAAAAGACAGGTCCACTATTCTACTATGTCATCAAACAGTAGTTTTCTGTATTTGATCAAAATCTAGGAGTCACACTCATTTTAAATGTTTTACACAATTTTAATATTAGGTGTGTGTCTGCAAAATGAAAGCCCAAAACATATAGTATGATTCATTCATACTATACCTTTTTGCCTTAATTGAAGCTAAAGTAAATGGATAATTATTTGTTTACACTTCTGAAAATGATGAGTATTTGATTGATGAAAAATGCACCTAAAGAATAAAAACCAATCAGTTTGGATTAAACTGTAATCTTAAATATTTAATGTAAAAAAAAGGGTTGATAAATCATAAAATCTAAAACAGACACATTTAAAAACTTTGTAATTGCTTTAAATAGTGTCATTGCCTAATTAGTAATTAAAAACTTGAGTATATACATAAAATGGAAGATATTTCTTTGTGGAAATAAAATGATCTAAAATTTTCGCCTAATAATTATTCAAACAGTGTGTGTCTCTGTGACGTGCCCTCGGGGAAGCCTATGTCCAGCAGTGGACTGCAAAAGGCTGATTGGATTATTCCAATGAATTCTCTGTTGGGAAGTGTCATCATTATGATCTCTAAATATATACACCAGATAGCCTCAGTTTAGGCATGTGCTAAGTATGTTCCATAATCTTCTGTAATTAAATAACTTAAAGAACAATGGTGAAACCTCATTTGACATAAATTAAAACATCTGGAAAAAGACAATACATAAATCAAAAATATTAAAAAATATCTACATTTTATAATGTTATCACTTAAAACATTTAAAGCCGTAAATAAAAAATAATTATTTAGAAAACTTAATTGATTTAAATGATTAAACTTTATTTCCTTTTTATCACTTTACTTTCTTACGATTTAAAACTTTTAATCCTTAATTTAGATATATAATCATTACATCAATTTCTTAAAAATATAACTTTAAAACCTATGTTGCTTGAATAGAAACTAATGGCTTTTGATTTTTTGTTTGTATATTACATAGTGTATTTTATTCTGTTCCATTAATTTATAAAATCTTGATGTGTAATAGCAAGTCAATGAAAAAATGTTATGGCCGCACTGAAACTGTGCTCTAAGCTTTGGCATTTGACACATTTACACCCAGTTTCCGAAAGCGCAATCAATTTTAATTTACGATAAATCTCTTGTTAATCGTTGTGTAACATGATCTGAGTTGCTAGAACGTCTTAAACAACATTGATTTTGTTTTTTGCAATTAGTCACTGATTAACGGACAATCAACAGAAAATCGAGTTTCTGAAAGCGTTTTTCGGTGGTCAACGAGCTGTCAAAAGTTTTATTAAGTAATCTATCAATTTGGACGATCAATGGTTGGTTAAAAATTTTATTTATTACATTAGGACAATATTCTATTACCTATTTATTATTTATTATTATGTGAACATATCATGTGATTAGAAAAAATACAAAATGCAATTCAAAAGTTAATAAATAATATCGATTCTTTCTTTTTATAATACTTACTTGTTTATTATGGATAAAAGTTCATTTTTTTCACATTCTGTAACATTTTTTTTTTGACAGGTATGGATAGTGACTTTAATTTGAGTTTTATTTAAAAAGGGACAGCTATACAATAGAAAGAGTTAGTTGAAGTAAATCATTCATTTCATTCATTATCATTGGTTATACAGTGATTAGCTAATTATTCTTGAACAAACCTTCCAGAAACCCAAGGCAGTTTAATAAGAGATTAACAGCTGATCATTTTTAACATAGTGTTATGTGATTGTTGCTTTGATTGGCCTTTCGGAAACTGGGCATTAGGGATATAAAAGTACAATATCGACCTCAATATATTGAAGAGAAAATAAATTTATATTTTCTCTTTAGGCCCCAGTCTACAAAATAAAAGGTATAACAAGTATTAAAAATTCTTTATGTGCCGAATAGAAATGCCAGAAAAAAGAAAAAAATATAATTTTTGATACTACTTCTATGATATGGATATTTTGCTATATATTATTTAATATATTATTAAATAATATATTTTTTTCTCAAAGATAAATAAGTTATAATATTTTTTGTGGATAAAACTTACAATCAGGTGGTCGTGTACCCAGTATATTTTGTAATCGCTCCTCTACATTAGATAAATCTCCCAGAGCACCGCCTGCTGCACACTTTTTACGTGCTTTGTATTTGATATCTGCCCAATACTGAAATATAGTTTTATTCATTGTAATTTCATTTTTCAGGACCCTTCTTTCAAATTAAATAATAAATAGGGTGTTATGCCACAACAAAACCACACAAAAGATTACTCTACACAATTTTATAGATTCTCTTACATAGTTCAAAGGTGAAAGAAAGGTAAAATTTTCATTATGCAACTAAAATTTCACTAAAATTTCCTTTAAATGAAATAAAGTAATTGATTTAAGTTTTATGAAAAGCATAGCATAACTATTTTTACCCTGCACCACTTGTCTGGAGACTTCCGTGCGCCACCTGTATCTGCCGCTGCTGCATTCAACCGTTCAGCCAGCAAACGCCAAAGCTTACTAGAGCTGAAGCGAGAGTATATAGATTGTTTCCCTGCTGCAAAATCTCGGTGTTCTTCCATAAACGACAAAAGTAAATCTAGTTGTTCAGAACTCACTCTACATCTGGTTAATACGGCGCTCATGTCTGCCATACATATCGTTAACCTCGCAAGCTGTTTCTTTTTAAGCTCCCATTTGATTTATTTAAACATTGACAAAGTGGAGAGATCATGCTCGTTGAGCGCACGTTTTACTTTTATAATAAAAGTGTTAAAATTATTAGAACAGTTACACAATTACACATAAAAGTTAGCTGTAGAATACACTTTCTTTATTTCATTTAACTATTCGTCCACTTCTGTAAAGTTTGAAGTTAAAGAATTTATTTTTATGTGTCCAATTTATTCTAGTGAAATTCACTGTAAGAATAAGAATGTAATTGTAAAAGGTAAATCGTAACAGTGTTACCAACAGTTCAAAAATAATACTCAGAAAATTATTTCGAAAACCCACTAAAATTTATATAAATTGAAACAAAAACTTCCTAAATTTTAAATCACGATTTTTATATCATCAAGGCATATTCAATATTAATATTTAGGACGAAATATTTCAAAATATACATACAAGACAGACACATAAGCTTTGACCTATCCACCAAAGCACAGCATAGCACAATTAAATTATATTTTTTGTGTAGTTTTTCCATCAAAAATGTAAATAAATTTAGCTCCTAAAATTATTCCTAAAAGAATTTACCTCTTAAAAACTTCCAATGTAAATTTTTTCTTTCTTAATTTAGGAAGAAAATTCCTAAGTTGGCATCCCTGTAAATCGCAAAGCGTAAAGTGGACAGGGCACAGGCTGAGCGCATGGAGGGGACACAACCATAGATAAGACATATACACAACACAACCAAAATAAAATAACACTTACCAGCAGGGTTGGATTTAGGTATGATGAAAAAGATAGTACAAATATTGAAAAGTATAGTATTTGTAAAAATATTATAGTACACTTTATAATTTTGATTTTAACAGGCATTACTTTAACATTGACATCCAAGGAATAAAATCAATAAAAATACTACGTTTTTTCCATCTTTGATGGTGTCATAACACAATAAAATGACGTCTATGGATTACGCTCGTTTATTATCTTAGTTTAGGAAATAATAAATTTATCGTACCTATTAGACATTAATGAACTCGATTAACCTCATATTGGAATATGCAGAGTTTTTTTTATGCGAAAAGTTGTCAAACGAGCAGACGGTTCACCTGATGTTAAGGAATACCGCCGCCTATTGACATCTGTCACACCCGAGGATTACAGATGCGTCGATAACCTTTACAAATTTGGCTCCGGCTACTTCACTCACCAGACAAAACGCGAAAGTATGTGTCATACTTCCACTTTACGCTGGTCTTCTGTGAGGTCATGGTACTTACCCGGACGGGCCTGCCCAGTGTTGTAGTTGTTTCGCATCTGTATGTGTGTCCACGAATTTTAATTTTGTAAAAACTTACAACACAGGATAATGTTATCTTAAAGTGAGGGCAATGTGTAAAAAAAAAAACAAATATAGTACTACAATGATAAAAGAATATAATATTCTTATATTTACTATATTATACTTATATTCTTTTATCAATGAGTACGAAACATAAAATTATAGTACAAATACTATAATTATAGTACAAAATCCTACCCACCAGCAACATAGGCCCATGGCTAAGACATATTAATTAGAAAGGCCACACCTATGAATACTATATATGTATTGTATATATTTATTATACTATGTATATATTTATTTTATATATCTGGGCCACACTTTTCTATCTTTACTGTTGAATTTACCGTGGTGGGACCTCACAGCTTTTGCTAAAACTAGTTAAATAAAACTAGTTTACGGATTTTATCGCGTTTTTTATTTTGATTTGAACTCCCGACGTTTCGAACCCTTCCCAGCGTTCATGGTCCCGGGACAGACTAAGTTGTTATACGTCTTGATGTCATAGTTAGCCGCGGCTACCGTCAATTATTTTGTTTATTTTTATTCCGATCCACGCAGAAGGAGCTTATGGTATCTTGAGGTCTGGCAGTGTTGGTGTGATTGGATTTAATTTTATAAATTATGGGATCCCAAGCAGATGGTAAACCATTTTCCCAACCATTTTCTGTATTGAAATTAGGATGTTTGTTTATTTCAATAGCCTCGCGGATCATCCTTGGAAGGAATCGGTGTTCTTTTGCAAGGATTTTCGATTGACCAAATAAATCAAGCGGTTGGGACGGTCTAAAATATGATCAAAAACTGCAGACTTCTTCAACCGTCGGTCCTTCACGTCAGCTATGTGTTCTTTAATTCTGGTTTTAATTGATCTTTTTGTTTGTCCTATATAAGAGAGCCCACAATCGCAGTCAAGCTTGTACACTCCTGGATTTTGTAGAAGGATATTACATATGACAGATGGTAAAAATTGACTTATCTTCCTAGGTGGTTTGAAATTTGTTTTAATTGAAGCACGCTTCAAGATGTAGCCAATCTTGTCAGTGATTCCTCTGACATATATCAATACAGCAGGCACTCGCTCAACTGTGGATGGTTTCACTCGGAGATGGGAGAAAAGGTCAGTCTCAGAATTAGCCTCAACAAAACGGAGTACCTACAGGTTAAGCGATACAACAATTTCAGAAGAAGGCGGAATGACCTTGTTGTTGATCAGATCCTAGGTAGTACCGTTACTGCAACCAACCGGAGCTGGCCAGAGATCAAGATCCTCTTTAAACTGTTTGTAAATGAAATTTTATATTTACTTACTAAATATAAAATATCATTGCTTTTAATTGAGACTTCGAAGAAATCAGATATTTATTAAAATTTGTAAAAAAAGTACGAAAAGGTTGTTCCGCTGTGGGAATCGAACCCACGTCTTCGGCATTCGCGGCCTGACGCTCTAGCCACTGAGCTAAACGGCTGATTGCCATACCGACGAAAATCTTAACGTCCTTTATCTACAATGTTTTTTAGCATTTGAAGTAATTTCTCCACAAATTTTAATGTTCAATTTTAAGTGCAGAGATTAGCACTATAAAAAAATTTATATTTCAGATATTTATGTTAAAATCAATACATATCTATGAAATACGTGCTACACAATATAAATTTTATTTTCCTAGGCCCTTATAAAACTTTAAAAAATAAATCCAGTGAAAAGTAATTTCAATTAAAATTTGTTTTCTGGAGCAATAAAAGATATAAATAATATGAATGATAAAAAATTAAAATAAATATTCTTCAATAGTTTCAAATAAAAATTAAAATATACCTTTACTCTATAGTCCTATACTAAACTAAATATTTCTGTTGCTATAGTAACAGTTTAAATAAACAAGCCATTCAGGTGACTTAGGTTTAATATCGTTAATAATGTTCTAAAGATAAGCCGCATTTTAGCTAAGTGTATGTATTGCTGTATAAATAATCTAAAATATGCATTCAATAGTATACTAAGTTGTATTACATCAAACTAATATTTTTTCTTATAATATTATCCAGTTAAATATGTTTAAAAATAAGTTTATGAAACCAGCTGATCAGATACACCTACAAGGTTTATTTTTCAGGTAACAGTTACATTATTTAGTTCACATACTTGAAGTGAGTACTTGGGTTAAAATATACCTCACTACAATCGCAATCCATTTGCCATGAAAATATTGTGTGTAATGAAATGAAATATTTTCTTTGTTTTTATTCCAGGTATAAAATTAAAATTTATGTGATCTTCATCATAAAAATGTGATACTGCCGTAAGTTTGCATCAAAACTGACTTAATCAAGAGCGTTTGGAGTGATTTTTTTGTTCAAGATGAACCGTTATGTGGTGCTACAACAACTGGGCGACGGCACGTATGGTTCAGTGGTACTGGCACAGAGACGAGATACCGGTGAAAAGGTGGCTATAAAACGTATGAAGCGGAAGTATTACTCATGGGATGAAGCTATGAACCTGCGCGAGGTGAAGTCCTTAAAGAAGCTAAACCATGCGAATATTGTGAAGTTACGAGAAGTGATTCGGGAAAACGACACGCTGTATTTCGTCTTCGAATATATGAGAGGCAATCTGTATCAGCTGATTAGAGACGCGGAGCGGCCGTTTCCGGAACCGGTGCTCCGCAATATTTTGTATCAGGTGTTGCAAGGGCTCGCTCATATGCATCGTCACGGTTTCTTCCATCGCGACCTCAAGCCGGAAAACTTACTTTGCGCCGGTCCCGAGCTGGTGAAAATCGCGGACCTGGGCCTCGCGCGGGAGATCCGCTCGCGGCCGCCGTACACCGACTACGTGTCGACGCGCTGGTACCGCGCGCCGGAGGTGCTGCTGCACGACACGCGCTACGGCGCCCCCATCGACCTGTGGGCGCTGGGCTGCATCGCCGCGGAGCTGTACACGTGTCGGCCGCTGTTCCCCGGCAATTCGGAGATCGACCAGCTGTACAAGATCTGCGCCGTGCTCGGCACGCCCGAGCGCGGCGAGTGGCCGGAGGGCTACGCGCTGGCGGACGCGCTGCGCTTCCGCTTCCCGGCCAGCGCGGGCGTGGCTCTGGCGCGGGTGGTGGGCGGCGCCTCGGCCGCCGCGCTGGCGCTGCTCAACGCGCTGCTGCGCTACCCGCCGCGCGAGCGCCCCACCGCGCCCCAAGCGCTCCGGTACCACATCGCTTGCACGTGGCGCACTTGAGCTTCGGACCGTAACGTCACCATGAGTAACGTCCACTCGCATCCGACTTTCAGATTTCCCTATTTTGCCGTCGGCTCAACGTTAGGCGTGCCTCCGCCGACGTCACGTGCCAGAAGGTATGGGGCCAGAAGGGTTGTTGCCTTACAAATTGAAAGTTTTGTTTTGTCTGTATTTTTCATATCATAATTATTCTTTTGAAAATGCTCCTGCAATTTGCAGAAGTGCACTCCGAGTGGAGCCAGAGATGGTCGCGTCTGCGGCGGTGCCTGATGCACGTGCTGACCTATTTGCTGACATTCTCGGGTGCGTCTACACCAATAGCGAACATATATACTAATAATAAAAGCTTATTCCACGATCTATTGTTGACCTGTTGATTTAAAAATATTGTATGTAAGTTAAAATATTAATATTGGAAATGATGAAAGTGGTGTAAGTTATAATTAAGTTAAGTTGTTCATCTGATTGATATAATCATCTAATGGAACTTCAACCATGCCGTCTTCTTCTTCCTGGTGGGTACAAGTAAATTGTTCAAAGAGCGATGTGTCAGATATCGTATACAATATACATCGTAAGAATCCTCATTCACTGGCGATTCCACAATGGAGCAAGATTGGCCTCGACAACTGATACATGCTAATGAACAAAATAATCCAACTTTTTTTTAGCCGCATTTAGGATGACACCCTGTTATGCATTTGATAAAAAATTTATTGAGGAGTTTTATCGAGGTGTAGATGGGAGTAGTCTGAATTAATTCCAATGTTTTGTTAATTAACTTCCAAACCCAGTCTTCTGGGTCTAGTTTACTACCAAGCCACACTTGACATACATATTATGCATTATTATATACATTTTTTAAAATTTATTATACATTGCATCGCTATATCTCCGAAATGGTAATTTTTAGGAAAAAAAGTGTAGATACAGTTTTTATAGCTAATCGCCTAACGAATAATTTTTGTCTCAGCTATTTTTATGATAAAACTTACCGTTTAGCTAAAAATGTAAAAAGCGGTTTTTGCAACATTTGACCTCATGAAAATTTTTGCACACGTCGGATCGACGGGGATTTTTTCGGACAAATTGTTTGTAATAGTGTTCCCGACATTCATTCCAATTTTCAGTTTTGTGCCTATTTTTGAAACTAATTTGACCGGGCTAATGATTGTAGAATGTGATATTATTTGCACAATATAGGAGTACCACTAACAGACTGTACATCTGTTAAACTGTTTTAAGGGATGAACTTTGCAGGGGCGAAGTGGTACACGAGACGCGGGAAACGCGCGAGGCGGCGCGCGGTCGCAGCGTGGCGGCGGGCGGTGCGGGGGCGGGGGCCGGGGCGGGGGCGGGGGCGGGGGCGCCCGGCAGGGCTCCCGTGGCGGCCGCCGCCGCGTACCTGGGCGCCGCGCGCTACGTGGCCGGCACGCGGATCGACACTTCCCTGTTCCGTCCTATTCCCTTCCGATCGCATCAAGGTGGGAAGGTGCAACCCCACACAGAATACCTCATCTATCATCTAGATTAAATCTTCTTTTGGTTTCAGAGACGACTACTGTAGGCAGCGGGGCTCCGCGTGTCGACTGGGCAGCTAAGTACCTCCGCTGATGGAGGCTTAACATGACAAAGTCTGCCATGAACATTAGAACAAACTACATTGAACATTGTATGATGTTCAAAACCCTAACAACTGGTATACTTTTGTGTTGTAGTAATGTTTAAGGTTTAGTTTTTAACAGACATCTTCACACATAAATACAAGACTGACAAATTGCAGCTGTTAATTATGCAGCTGTGTTTACAGTCACCACTAAACTATTTTAGTGAAAATTACATTAGACAAAATAAAATATCTTCTAATGAAACATGTTGTCATTTATTTATTCTGCTTAAATTAACTGTCTAAAAATATTACAAGTAGACAAAATAAAAATATAAGGCATTTTTGCAATGAACTAAAAATTGTGAGGTGAAAGATGGTCTAATATTTAATTGTATAAAATTTCACAACATCCAATTTTATAATTAAATTTACTAAACATTTCAAGATAGTTATATGTAATCTACAAAATGTCTGGCCATTGTTTGACAGCAAATAACAAATTTGTGAAATAATTATTATGTTTCCATTTTGTTATAATGCAAAAATATGGTAGCTTATGTAGGCTTTTACTGGACTACCCAATTTTCCATTATCGCCTACAATAACACTTACTATCAGGTGCGATTGTAACCAGTTTGCGAAAAAGAGTTTAAATAAGAATATAATTAAATTTGCAGGTATGTACAATAATTATTTACTATTATAATCAAGGCACACTCAAATTCTTATGTTATTAATTCTTTCAGAACTCTATTCTATGATTTAACAAATAATACAGTAATTGCCCATTAATAAACTATAACAGTTAGAAAAATTAACAAACAAAAATATTCTTAAAGTCCACATGTTATTTTAGAAAATGATTCCTTTACATTGCTGTTCTAACACTTTGACAACTACAAAATCAGCAAGTTATATAATAAAAATTAACAATTTTTGAACAGACATATATATATATATAAAGCTTTGATTAACACAATAAATTGCAATGTCATTCATTGTATGTTAATAACAATTTCATATTCATACTAAAGTATTGAACTAAAACACAAACAGGTAACTTGATATCAAACTATATTATATTATTTACACAATTCCTTTTATATAAAATCTGTGAATTATTAACAATGGGAGTGCTGATTGTGTAACATCACTCATACTTGAGGTAGGGCTTGGTATCGGGAGCTGCAGAGAGTGGTGTGTGGGGTGCAAGAGTTGTGTGACCCGAGTGTTGCGAATGAGCTGGCCATGCATCCGGTGGCCAGCTATACACCCTAGGAGCTCCCCCGTCCAGCAATCCCCAACCCAACAACTGAGAGCGTGACCCTCTGTCTCTTTTGGGGGATGCAGTTGAAATATTAACGGATACACCTTTAATAATGTGGTCCTGCCCACAGAGTGATTGAGCCACTTCTGGATCTAAGAAAGTGACAAAGCTAAATGCACGAAAAGGGCGAGGAACAAACACATCTGTCACCTGGCCAAATGCTCCAAAATATTCGCGTAAGTCATCCGCAGTGAGGCTCTCGGTACATCGCCCAACAAAAACTTTTCGGTGTGCTGCTGCACCACCATCTTTACTGTTGGGTATGCGTACATCACACCACCGTCCATCGATCATATGGCGTCGACCGAGAGCACGCAGTTGTGATTCGTACTCTGCAAATTTGATAAATCCAAAGCCCTTCGAAAGACCAGTTTTAGTGTCACGTTTAACTTGAACCATAAGGAGTTCACCAAATGAAGAAAAATAGTCACGCACTGCATCCTCCCCAGTTTTCCATGGCAATCCCAATACGATAAGGTCAGAGCAACGAGGCCTCGCCGCTGGAGCACTAGCACGCGGGAACGCACAGAAGTAACGGTGGGCTGACCAACCTCCAGGCGGTGGTGACACTCGGTCCTCAATGAGACGTAAGCCCCGGAGACGGCCACCTGCACGATATTTAAGCCCACTAGCTCCCGCAAACTGCGCTGTCACAGTACTCAGAAGCAATGATCCGTCTTCCTCAGTTGGCAGCTCTATGGGCTCGTCCTGCTCGCCCTCGCTCACCAACACGTATTCTATCGACATGTCGCTCAGCAACCGACGATTCCTCTCTCGGTCCTCATCTTGTTTACATTATCAGCAGCTACAGAACGTGCAGCTGCGTCGAAACACTAAACTCGAGCTCCTAGTAATCGTCTAAACCTGGGTAATTTCATGTATGATGATTTTAAGAGTGACGTATAACGTGACGTTTCACACATGTCAAGTCAAAAATAAAACTGTCAATTTTTGTTGTTCGGATATTAGATTAAAACATATCACAAGTTTTTCGATAGGCTGTTTCTTTATTAGAACCTAAGAAATAAATTATTAGTTTTTTTTGTCAATAGAACTTATTTTAATAAGAATTTTATTCTTATTCAAAATTATCACCACCTGGTTGATTTTAACTAAGAATAAAATCGAAAACGTCCACAATTTTTTTTATTAAAAATGCCAATGTTTCTTTCTGGAGCATTTGAAGCAGGCAGACAAAATATGTACAAGTTTTCATGTTAGGATCGTTATTGCGAAATTCTTTGAATAATTCCACCTAACGAGGTTTTATGGAAACAAATTATAATTTTTTTTATTATATACGCTATTATATAGTTTTCTACGATGCGGTTAGAAGTGATGAGTTAGCAGTAAAAGAAAATCAATATATCCTTTTCAATTAATAATACATCCTCCTTCTCTTCTTTCCATTTCTTTTCTAAGAAAGCAAGTCCACTGTTCCAGAAATGTTTTATAAAATTCTGTAGCCGTACTTTTAACTAGTTTTTTACGTATATATACATACATATATATATATATATATATATATATATATATATATATATATATATATATATATATATATACAGCGTGTCGTTACCATCGCGACAATAAATGAACACACGTCTAACGCTACGAGCCAATAATCATAAAAAAATATTAACGTAAAACAAAATCCATAATTAAAAAAAAATATTTTTCAAACAAACTAATTAAGTAAAAAAGAAACAAAATTTCTAACATCCTATACAACTCGCGCCACAGCGTCGTATTACAAGCCTCTCCTTCTAACAGTATGTTTTGTCTCTTTTAAATTCATTCAACCCATTCATATGCTTTGTGACCTTTACAAATGAACTTTACGTTACGCTTTTATAGGTAAGGGTGTTCTAAAATTCTTTGTTTTGAAAAATTTTATAACTCTGTAAATATTGATGTTTAAAGAATTTAAACGTTTAATACAACTTTAAAAACTTATCCCCTATATGTATGTTCATTTATTGTCGCGATGGTAACGACACGCTGTATATATATATATACAATTTCCGAGATTCCAATTATATATATATATAATTAGAATCTCGGAAACGGCTCCAGCGATTTTCTTAGAGCGATCTCCTTTTTTTTAGAAAATGTCGTTTTATCCCAGTTTTTAGGGAATGAAAAATATTATTCGAATACGACGGTAAATTTGACCGAAAAAAAAAATTTTATAATAGCTCGGTCGGTAATCGGGCGACCGCTAACAAACATCCACGAAACAGAAGGCCGTGGTTCGTATCACGATCATTTATACACTTATTTTACTTTTTTTTCGATTCCAGATCATTGCTTTCTTTATCTTTTATTTTTTGTCGATTTGTTATTTTGTAATTTTTTTACCTTTTTTTTTAAAGTTCTTTCTTTTGTGAAAAACACCAGTTCATATTTTCTTATTATTACGTCGGTAAGATCGAAACATATTTCATTACTTAGTAATTTGTATCTAAATGTAATTTCCAAAATATACGATTTACAAAACAAAGCTCGGTCCTCCAGGTACTTTCAATTTAATCATTAGACTTAGAAGCGTATATGGAAGAAACTTATTGTTTCTGTTTCTGTGCTAAATTGTCTTCTAGTGTACTTTTAGGTACACATGTTGAGCAGGAGGCTAGGAGGCAGGTGGCCTCTTTACCCCCTTTTTATATAAAAAGAACTTTTCAATAGATTATGATGAAAACATTCTGAGCGTGTAAAAAGTAATACTACAATTCCGATGTAATCTTCAAAAGTTTATGACTCAGGTTATTTTAGAAATTTAAATTTTCATACCTTTTCTACAAATTATAACTCTGGTTATTTTTTAAATCTTAAGTAGTAGTTATTCAGTTACAATACTTGCTCATACAATTTTAAAACCTATCCATGGCAGGCATGAGCGCAAGTCACTTCATTTTGCTATAGCCTCTAAGCTTCAGCTCGAACCATGTAAATATTAAAAAAAATTGTGTGTAATTGTGTACACACTTAAGAAGTTATACTTCGTTAGCGTAACGAACAAAAAAGAAAAGTAAAACCTGTGTCCTTTGTTCTATTACGAGACGAACTCATACCCTGATGGATTCGTACCTGTCCATTATACCGCCATAATACGCTGTGCGTGCGTGCGTGCCTGCGTGCGTGCGTGCGTGCGGGCGTGAGTGCGTGCGTGCGTACGTACGTGTGTGTCTAAGTGTGTGTGTGTGTGCTGTAATGGATGAGTTGCTAACGTGTGGTAGTACACGGCGCAGATGATAGAAAAACCTGAGACTATATATTATGTATGGGGCCGTCCTTTAATTTTCAACTTTTTGAATACAGCATGTATGTTTTCAATCCTGTTAGACCTTGCTTTTTGGCAAATTTGTGATTCTTAGGCAACGGGAATTACCATATAGGTTTTCGATCCAAACCCTATAGTGTACTTCCGTTTAACCTAGAATTGTCAATTTTGGTAAAAATTAAGTTTAATTTTGGTAGTTGCATGTTATCGGGATAATTTAAATTTGTTCATGTCTGTTTATCGTGTTGACTCAGGACCTTCATTAACCGACTTCAAAAGGAGGAGGTTTTCAATTTGACTGAATTTTTTTATGTTTGTTACCTCAGAACTTTGGATTGAGTAGATTGATTTTGATGATTCTTTTTTTATTTGTAAGCTGTTGCTTCCCATGTAGTCCCATATTTATTTCATTGGTATTGGATTGTGGTCTTCGGAGATACTTAGGAAACTTTTAAAAATCAATTATGTGATGAATAGATATTTGAAGTCGGTTTTGTTTTTCGTTGATAAAAATAGACTTGTTTTTACACCCAATAGGGACTATAGTCCTATATATGGTATAAATTTTAACTTGCTAGGTGGACCTAACGGGTGGACCCGTTCCTGAGAAAATCGGAGTTCCTGATTTCTAAGATATTGGACTAAATTTTTCTATGATTTTGGCCAAATACTTTATTTAATATATTTTTTTTAAATAATAATATTAATATCATATTTAAATTATAAGCGCACTTGTTTAAAAAGCCGTGTCAGCGAAAAGCATGTAGTAAGTTAAACAACTGTTTGTTAATTTCTGCATCTTGAATAGTATATTAATATTACTATCGCTTACTCGCTTATTAAAGCGCAAGTGATTTCTTCAATGTGAACAATTTGCATGTTTAGTGATTCATGGGATTGTTCACTTTTGTTTTGATCCATCGAAACAATCGAGCAATTATTGGGGCGGAGTAGGGCACGTACGCGCCGCACCACTCCGGCTTTTGACCGACGCTCTCACGCTGCGTCCAGAATAAAAAGAGGCAAAGTGGAAATATGCAACGATTTAACGTAAAAGTATTTTGTTTATGTCATATGAATAAGCGTTCTACTCGTATTAACTACTGAACATCGATATTTCTAAAGTCGCAGGCTACTGCTGAATTTGACCGCCAAACATCTCGATAAAACATATACCTACCATCAATACCACCATTATTGTTGCCAAACCACCACCATTATTTGTTCATGAAATGTTTTGCCACGAACCAGCACTTTATTGCATTGGTCTTCTGCGAGGTCATGGTACTTCCCAGAACTGACCTGTATATTCGTGCAACAACAAAGACTGTTGCGTGGCCCTACCACTGCAAAAAAAGGTGGTAGGACCTTTATATCTGGCATTTGTTCTTTCGATTTAATCGTCATAGTTACCTATTTTATTGAGACAGCGAATGCATTATACATATATGTGTTAACCTCTGTAACTTAGATAACATTGTTTTGTTTGTATACTTACTTATTTTTATTCTACCCACAAATTCCGCACTTCATAATTTTGAGCCTTAATGACTCTCAGTTTTAATTTTGCTTTAGTATCATACGGATGTTTATTTGGCAAATTTTGATTTTATTTTGAAAAATGGCGCAACGAAGGCTCAAATCGTTATCAGTAAGTGAAAAACTGAAGTAAATATCCGTTTATGAAAGTGGGAAGATACGCGATGAAGTCGGTGTCGAATTCATGTGTAAAAATCTATTCTAGAATTAGGCTTCGGGGTCGTGGGCTCGATTCCCACGCGGGATAAATATTTGTGTGACCCACAGATAATTGTTTTGCTTCTGGGTGTTTGTCCACGTAAAATTTCTCATGTAAAAACGTCCCTACACCACTGGATAATGTTAGCTCTCCTTTATAATGGAAATTTCTGCAGACAGACTTGTTTAGATGGGAATTCGAACCCATTGCCCGCGGCCCCGAATCTCGTAAGAAACTTGTAGTTTAGTAAGAATTTTATATTGCTTCACAGTAATTGTTTTCCATTGGTCAGGGGTCGATGCACGCAGCAATTCAGATGTTGCAAGGATGGGCCTCCTCGATCAGGGAAGCATTACGACGCTACTTAATAAATATACTTTTTATTAAAATAAATAAACGTTTAAGGACACATTTTTACACAACGTTCTCTAGTCCCAAACTAGGCTATGCTTGTACTATGGGTACTAGAAAACTGATAAACATACTTTTCTTATGTTAATAAATACATATATTTTTTTCTTTTTTTTTAAAACATTGCCCATACTTTAGGATAACTTTATCCTGTGTTGTAAGGACGTTTTACAAATATAAATTTCACGTGAACAAACACCAAGATGCGAAACAACTATCTGTGGGTCACGCAAATAATTGTCCCGTGTGGGAATCGAACCCACGCCCCCCGACGTCGAAGCCAAAACCTTGACAACTGCGCCACGGAGTCCCCATATTATACACCCAGTCACTGGAAAAACACTATGTTCATCACACAATATTTTTCCAGTAGTGGGGGTCAAACCTACACGCTGTGGCGCAAAAGGCAGTTTCACTATTTCCCGCGCCAATCGGGTATTAGGATATTATATATATTGATTCTTCTTCATACTGATTATATTGATTCTCATTCTCCCGTGACACAGTAATTGATATTTAAGATATCAGAGTCACTCAGGGAAACAGGAAGAACAGGTGTACACAAGTAATTTTCATTCGCGTCTCTTTAAAGTAATATGTAAGAGAATTAAAATTCATATATTTATATAATATTAGATTTTATTTTATTATATGATTATTAGATAGTACGATAGATTATGTAAGAATTGGGTAGAAATTTTAGGCAAATAAATTGAAATTGCCAAATAAAGATCAGTTGCCACTCGCTTGGTACAGACGCTCGTAAGTTCGCTGCCTGATTAATTATATAACCGAACAACCTCCTAAGCTTTCAATACCGGGGTAACAGCAAACTATACGTTACAAAAAAATCACTTGGAGTCCTATCTTTATTAATATTATAAAGGCGAAAGTTTGTATGTATGGATGGATGTTTGTTACTCTTTTGTCACGCAAATACTACTGAATAGATTTTAATGAAACTTTACAATAATATAGCTTATACATCAGAATTAAACATAGGCTATAATTTATATACATATTTTTATGTATATATGACATTATGTCTGAATGTTACGCCTTCAGCCTATTCTACGCAGACATAGTCGCGACAAATGCAAGAACGCTATAAAAACTCAAGAAACAGAGTTCATTCAGCGTAGGTAGGAGATAAATAATAATTTTACAAAATGATAGTAGTCCAGGTTACCTGATGAAATTAAGACCAATTCCCGTGATCATGCGGAATTTATATTTGAAGATAAACGCTATAAGGCCCGTTAACATATATTTAAACTAGCTGCTGCCCGCGACTACGTCTGCGTAGAGGGGTGAAAATTTAGGGTTGTATGTATTTTTGTATGCTATATCATAAAACAAAAAAAGACAAAAATTTTTATATAAAAAATAAAATAAATTTAGGGGTGGACCACCCTTAACATTTAGGGGGATGAAAAATTGGTGTTGTCCGATTCTCCAAATTGATGTTGTCCATATTGCCGATATGCACAAAAAATTTCACGAAAATCGGTCTAGCCGTTTCGGAGAGGTTCAATTACAAACACCGTGACACGAGAGTTTTATATATTACATAATAAAAAAAAACGGCCAAGTGCGTGTCGGACTGAAAAAACGGCAAAATAATCATGTCTGTCGCATGGGAGCCCCACTTTATTTTATTCTATTTTTTAGTATTTGTTGTTATAGCGGTAACAGAAATACATCATTTGAGAAAATTTCAACTGTTCAAATATGACGGTTCATGAGATAGTCTGGTGACAAGCGGACAGAAAGACAGAGGAGTCTTAGTAATAGGGTCCCGTTGACCGACATTGACCAATAAACAGCACACAGTAGGGAAGAGTTTTATTCTAAATTAGTCCAAGCTGCGGTGTGGCTGAAGATCGGACCCTATTGCTATTTCCTATTGCCCTTATTAGTTGCAGGTGCCTTGAGCCGAGCCAACATTAGTTGCGGTGCTTTTATCGCAGCGGTAACTTGAATTTAATGCAATATACTTTATTTTTATTGACCCACTATTTGTTCCTCCAGTAAGCCGGCTATGGAGTGGGGAACGACGCTCTAAATATCAAATTATTTATATTTCAGCCGCGTTGAGTGTAGAAGGATAAATATGTGTGTCATAAAATTTATACATCATTCTCCTAACGAGATATGCAGAATAATTGCTAAAAATTATAGATAAGACATTTCTTGATATAATTAGTGAATTGCGAAATTGTGGAGACTTTTTATCGATATATTACTATTTTAACTAAGCTTAGTCCAAGGGAGCAACGTTTTACACTATATTGTAAAAAAGTCATTTCTTACACATTAAGGTGTACTAAAGTCCCTTTTGTCGTTGTTTATTTTTCAAACCTGTTAAACTTATATTCATTCTAATGTCAAGTTGACAAAACTATGTAGCAAAATGTAAAATGTAAAAAAGCTAAATGTAAAATATACACTTTATATTTTACAATTAGCTGCCACCACCTTCGGGCCAGTGAGAGCTGTCTCCAACTCCCACGCTCCCCGCTACAATGCCGAGTTAACGATCATAGAAATCCTTTGTTCAATTATCTTCATTAAATCTATCTATTTAGACACTTTCCCCTTACAAGAAAGTTAAACTTGTGATATTGTCAACTTCTTTATTGTGCCATTTTATAGCAAAATGTCATGTCTAATCATATACTGTCCATAATAGGGTCTGCGTGCACGATTCAAAGTAATTTCCTCCATTCCGCGCGCGATCACAATTAAATCATTTTTATTATGCTTTAAATTCTAACGTATGTACATGTAAATAAATTGCTTTGGTAACTATTATTTTTCTTTTGCCACGTTCTCGAACGAACGCGAGGCGGTCAACGTACGTTACGAACCGGACACAAATACATGTTAGGACACATATGGAAACAAATATATATCACCGTTTATTCATTTCTTTATAGCGAGTAGTGACTTGAATAAAAAATAATTTAATTACGACAGCATCGCATTCTAATATCAGTTTTAAAATCTTCAGCCTAGGTTTGATTCATACCCCGAGTGTACCTACTTAGTATTTGTCTCATCTACAGATCATTGTTTCGGGACAATAGAAGTAGGTTATTTAACATATAAAAATTAAGCATGGTTGGTACAGAACATAAAAGCACATACATCATATTAATTTTAAATTATCTAGTCAAAGTTTTGATTCAATTGTCAATAGCTCTCGCGAAATTGAAGTGTTAGATATTAATATGTATGATAATATTTGAAAATGTGAGAAGGCACATTGTAAAATTGCGAGCAATTCGTAGAAAAAAAATATTTAATAGCTTTTTGATTATTAGTTAACTCTTCCGTTCTTCTATTCCCTGGTTCTACATTGCGTTTTATTGTCAAAAAGATTCGCTTGAGCTAAGCACTAGGCGCCCTCTTTACTCTATATCTGTTACCCACAAGAAATATAGGCATCTTGGAATGCCTCCTGTTGCCGCCGCCTCCCGTGCTCCCTTGGCCAGCGTATAATGTTGCCCACATCGCTGCGTGCCTTCCAATGGTGCTCAGCAGCGGCGCGGCACACATGCCCTTATGCGAACGCCCAAGCGCACTCCTACGGTCATTTTTAATACATTATGTGAGCACGAGGGAAATTTTTATAGTTTCAAAAGCAGTTTTCACCGTTACAACGCCGCGACAGGGATGACCAACTAATTTTTTACGAACATGGCCGAGAGTCTAATATTAAGAAAATATATGAATATAATTTAATCATTAGATTGATAACTCAATGTAACAACATTATATTGTTACTATGTGTCAAACAAAAGCTTTTCCAATTCTATTTCATCAAAAGACAATTCGCAAGCGGTCTCTAAAACTCTTATGTTGGGCTTTCGAGTCACCACAATCATAATTGTATCGAATATTCTTACTGTAGTAGGAATATTCGGTAGTAGAGAGGCAATGACATTTCAGAATAACAAGTATAACACGTCTCTTTTGACGATTATTTGAGCAGCAAAAAATATAGCTAAAAGTTATTTGAAAAAAAAAAACAGCTTAAATTTGAAGTTTGGGAAACTTAAATTGAAGAGGTTTGTTAGTATGTTCCCAACTTCGGTAGAAATATAAGTAACTCTTGGTTGCGTTAAATATGTAGTCTCGGTCTCACCGTTGATCACCACTGGAGCACATAAAGGTTTATTGCAGTTTTCCTCGCTCTTTGCTAGCAATTGAGATGTGATAAGCTGTTTGTGCCACGTTGTAAATTTTTTTGCCGTAATTGAGCGAGCGCCCAGGCCGATATACGGACCTATGCGGCTACGCCGTATACGGGCTTTCTAAGTTTTAAAAGAAATGCTTGGAATAAATAATAATTATTTCTTAAAAAAATAGTCTTCCAAATATATATAGATCGGACCTCGTATTTGAGATGTCATGTCACAGCTTCTATTCCCAGTGTAATTTTCATTTTAATTTTCATAATATCAGTGTGATCTTTACACTGTAGGGCAAAAGTAGTTAGTGGTAGTAGTAGGTAGTGCTAAAATGTTCCCAGGGCATTGTCGGGGCGCTGAAAAGCTGTAGTGATAGCGGCATCGCAGGCTGCGGCGGCGCGGGCAGACCGGGGCGGTGGTGGCGAGGCGAGGGCCGCGCTTGGCACTTGGCACCTCACCTTGGCAGTGCGCTCCCCAGCGCCGTCCCTGGCACCCGCCTCGTTCGCGTCTCGCGTCGCTTGAAAGCTCGCTGGAGCTTTTCGCGCGCTACAGTCTCGATTCGCCGATTAACAGTAATAACGTTTAACGCTTTAGTGGAAATTAACTCATGTGTAGTGAGTGACTTTTAGTGATTTCTAAATAAATACATTAAATGCCTACACATTTACACTTATTAAGAGATTAATTGAAAATGTAGAGTTGACACATTTTCTTAAATCAGTGGAGCTATTATAATTATTACTATTCAAATGATAATTAGCGAACACACCTTTATGTAAAAAGCTTATCGGATACCCTTAATTGTCATGTAATGTATGCTTCGAGCATTAAATTTACTATTTATCATTAATAAGATTTGTTCCATAAGTACACATGATGATTTCCTATATTTAATTAAATTACTCAGAATATAAAGTCTAAGTTAAACACGATGACGTCCGTAAAGTGGTATTAAAAAACAAAAAAGTATTCTCAACAAGGTAAAATGTCATTAGCTAGAAGTGATCTCGCGTCGTACAGGCACTGTTATAAATGCTAATAATTGGAGTGTGGGTCACATTAGCAATAATAAAAGACACCGGCGGGGTCGTGAGGCCTGGGCTGGTAAGCTTCAAGAAATCTCCCGAATCTTAGAAACGTATATTTTCGCTTTTGCACACGTTTCTCTGCGGAATTTATGATAATTTTTATTAATTATTTTAATATATAAATTGACGAAAAATTATCTCAGTGATGAAATTTTCGAAAATTTCACCTTGAGTGCAGGTTACCATTAAAAAAAAATTCAGTAGCAAAGGCAAATCCTATATTATATAAAGGATTAATAAAGGCTTCTTCAAATATTTATTAGGAAATTGTATTTGAGACTATTATTTGAGTTGACATACTGTATACTTGGTCACAAGGTAAATCAGAACATTGGTAAAAATGTAAGATAAAAGAGAAAGGGGTGGTCAAAAAGTTCTGGAAATGGCAAGGAAGGAAAATGAAAAAAGCTTACACTACTACATTTTTCGGAGTTCTCAAATAATTTGTTTAAACAAAAAAAAATCAATTTTCTGACCTTTGGCCTTTGTAATGCCACTGCATTGACGCAAAATTTACGAAATGAAACTATTTTAAGGATTTTACCAGAAGACTGAGTGACTGCAAGCTTTTATTATGTTTCACTTGTCCCGATGTTTGTCATAAAATTTTGCAAATTAAATCTGGTACACTCCCCGGTTATCGATTGAGTTGAAATTTTGCATACCTGTATAAATTAATTGGCAATGCAATATTATTATGAAATGGTGCTGATCTGATGATGAAGCTGGAAGGTGGTCATAGGAACTTTGTAATGCAACGGCGCAACTTTGGTGCTAGATAGTAACTTAGGTCCGATGATGGAGTTGGACGGTGGCCGTAGGAACTCGGTTATTAAGCGACGCAACCGCGCTGAGTTTGATTCGTCTTAATGTTACAAACAAATAATCCACTGATTATTAACAGTAACTAATTGATATGTAAAGTTATTTAAATATAAAATAAATATACTAAAAAGTTAAAAATAAAATTAAAAGAAAAAAATACTTTTTAAAAACAAGCTTTTATTGACACCTATTTTATTTTCTAAATAAAAGCGTGTTGTTACATTGTGATCGTAAAGAAATGTAATGAAGGTGTAATTATGTTAAATATTCTTTAATGTTCCATCACAATGTAACACGCTTTTATTTATGGAATAAATTGGGTGTGAATAGAAGTGTGGAATAGAAGCTTGTTTTTACTTTAATTAATTAATTTCACCAAACAATTTCTACCCAAAAGGATCTTGTGATATATCGAGGTCTTGTTCGTATGTTTGGATTTATTGTATATATTACGGAATCCCAAGCTCGGTTTACGCTACAGAGTGCCATAAACTCCGGTGCTATTGTTTTTAATGCGACGTGAGCATTATTTGACATATCAAGATGTTAATAGAGAATTTTAAAAATGGTACTAGATGACACAGAAAATTTTGAAAATTATTTATAGTTTTTTTAACAATCAGATGCCATGATGTCATTTATCGAACAAATAATATCAGTACACGATGTAAAGTTAAATTATAACTAAACGTCAAACTATTTCTTCGCCTTTTTAACTTTAAGCTGTGTTTTATCTCTGTATGGTCGTACAATCATAATTTTATTTTTCGAAAAAAATGAATTTATTTTTCAAGAAAGTGACGCATAATAATAAAATTTTATAAGAATAAAAAAAGAACGATGATTTAAAAGTGGTATTTTTCCATAAGTCACAAACCTTATTACGCAGAAGACGCAGGTTTTCGAATCAGGATTCGTCCTGGCATGCATATACATTATTATACATTATTTGTCGTTAACTGCTCATCGTCATCTACTAATGAGCAGTAGTACACTACAGTACTACTGCTCATTAGTAGATCACGTGGACTCCTCTTCATTATTTGAAGGGCCTAACGAATCAGACGGCCACAAAAACGTCACGTTGTACTGTCAAATTGACATTGCTTAGTGTTTGTCGTGACCCCTCTCGCATTCAGCCTTTCATAATGTATAGCATCAACATCAGCAGGTACTAAAGAGATCTGGTTCTAGGGTCTCAGAAGGGCTAGGGAATCGCGTCGTGACATGACGTAGCGCAATGTCTAGTAACATCAAATGCTCTTTGGTATATTTTGTACTAACTTTAAACTTTAAACCATTACATGATAGTTGAGGGTGACAGCTATTGGAAAAAGAGATATAAATATTATGCATAATCTCCATAATTGAAAAAGTAATAAATGTTTTCCTTACTTGCATTTTCCGAAAAAAAAAATAACCCTTTAATAAATAATGTTGGTTTTTAATTGATTATTTTTATTCGATGTGGCACATTAATTAATTTAGACTAGTAGTGGTCTGTTACATTTATTAATTTGAGCATGATAAAATCACTTTGATTCTGAATTCAGAATGAAACGGTTCTCTTGGGCAGATATCGTGAAACGCGTTGGATATACCCCGTAAATGAATATTGCCATAATATAAAGTATATTAATCATATGAATTAATCATTGGTTCAGTTGATTAGTGTTTCAATTTAAAAATATGTGTTTTTGTTTAATAAATCTGAAATATTGTAATTCTTGTTGAAGGTCCAGGCTGATTGATTTTAGTAGTAGTAACATAAAATATATTCTTTTTTACATCATAATTTTTTTTGTTTATTTGTTTTTTTTTATTCTGCGATTTAAGTAAGAAACTCAACGACACGATCCCAAGCGGTGTTTGGAGTGCACCAAGAAACTCTTTAACAGCCGAAACTTCGCTTGTCTAACATCAGACAATTTACTGCGCTGATGGTAAAGAAATTTGATACGAATACACTTTTTAGATCTTTTGATCGATTAAGAGCCTTAAGCTCAACAGTCTCCGTATGTTGATTTGATGATATTTCCGTCCGAGTATGGGCTTTTGTCCAACAGTTTGATTTATCGGTACTATAAAGGCAATGCTTATGTCAATTCGACGGCTCACCCAGCAGTTGAGGAGCTATGAGCAGTTGTTAATTTGTCGGCTGGCGCAATCCACTGGTCGCTGCGTGGGTACAAAAAGGTTTGGGTGCGCGGCTCGCGCCATTGTTGCACGCGCCTCGGGTATCCATTCGGCCACTCGTTCACCAATCAATTTCGGTGCGGTAAAGGCAACGACAACACGTAACCAGTTCGGTGTTCGTTGACTGGGAGAAACCGGCGGCCGATCGGCTTAGGCCCCTCCCGGTGGAGATGCCTTATCTTTGCCTCGTTTCCAATTAATAAAAATATAAAGCTTAAAGTTAAAAATCAGATTCTTGTACTTACCGACTTCTATCTTGTTTGGAAATATATTTCTCGTATTATTTTTGGTGCATTAGATGTAGTTGATTTGTACTACAATGTACGCGACTACAATACAGGGACACATGAGGTGATGCGATGAAGTTCTGTTCGCCTGATGGTAATACACCACGGTAGCCAAATTGAGGCTGGCGCGTGCGTGCCATGACGTATATGGCGTCCGTGCGGTGGGTGAGCCGAGCCGTAGGTCGCCAGGTCGCGCGGGCGACTTCCGCGAAACGCATTGGCTCTGCAGCGTCCTGCGGGTTCCGCGAATCGGTCACTCGTCACTGCCTCCTGCTTTCTGCATCTCGCGGACTCCCGTTCGTTTCTTCGAAGCTACCGTTTGCGCGGAGTCTCGAATCGTAATCGACCTGCAGTCGCTCTTAATCCAAAGTATGAATAGTATTTGGTGTGGTCTAGGGCCATGTGTGAAGTTGATCGAAATAGAAGGCCTGTACCGGGCGTGCGTCAAAACAAGGCCTGCCGAACCAGTCGTGAGCCGAATCGCAAAAAGCGCGCGACATTCCGCGCATCCCGCGACGCTCATGCCTTTTGTGTTCGGAAATTCGTCAACTTCAGTGAGCGGTGAGCCGAAATTCTAAACGAGAACAAACCGCTGCAAAAACTTGAATGTGGATTTAGAATATGTGGCCGCATTTCAACCCGGGCATATGTGCTGATATTTTATTGTTATTGTTTTACATGTCGCATTCCACAGGTGGACGCGTTACGGCTGCCACGAAGCATTCGTATGAACCTTTGGATCCGGTGGATCTTTGGAGGTGATCGTGATGGGGTGAAGAGGAAATGTATGGATTTGGCAAAGGGCTTCTTTCACCCCCTGGCCGTTCGCAGCGCCTCTGAAGCGGCGTAGTGTCGTGTGTCGCTCGGGTGTGTCGGCGCAGCGTGCGCGCAGCGTCATGCGCGCGGCATGCTGCTGCCCGACCAGACGTACGAGCGGTCCGAGGGGTCCGAGCGGCGCGGGCGGCGTGGCCGGCTGCGCCACGAGCGGCCCCAGCCCCGCTACGAGCGCTCCCAAGCGGAGCCGCCGCTGGTGGCGCTGCTGCGCGCCCACCGCGTGCGCCCTGACTTCTTCTGCACATATCGCTCCCCTCGTACCTCGCACTCCAGGTTAATGTTTGTTGCTGATAACGTCTAAGATAGTTTTGTAAGCCGTTTAGGACAGCGGACACAGTATACCAGTTTCGTGTGATGAGTTTTCGATAGACGACCTTTACTTTAGATTTGACTATACGGCTGATTTAAGTGATCACTTGATGATCCAAAATTTCTCGATATTTTTGTGGTAGCAGGTGGTGCGAGGAGTCACCATTGGTTGAGGCAGGGGAGGAGGGCTTTGCGGGGGGTGCAGGGGTGCGGGTGGGGCGCCAGCGACACACCCGCCGCGCACCGGCAAGGGGTGAGTGTCTCACTTTACTACGGGGACACGTATGACACTCTTGACCATACCTAAATGATTATGTGGAGATAAATTTATTTATTCGTGTACCTCGTTTATATATACCTATACTATGTTCAAATGAAGAATGTGCCCGACAGAGTGTCATCATGCATAAAAATATATGTTAAATATATCCCAACTAAGTTTTTGCCCTCTTATAAAATTCTGCGAGCGAATTATTTTTTTTACTGTAGCGGACGAAATATCGACTTAAAATTGGTAATTATTAGTATTCAGTTTAATGGTGTGTGTTAGATGGGTCGATATTAGTCCTTGTTGTAAAAGCTTATGGACATTGATTTGACCTCTGATTTTATTTTCTTTGATTGTTAAAATAAAAAGTACGATTGTGCTGTGCTCTGTTCGCCACTGGCGCTGGCGGTGCCCTGTTCATTGCTGCCTGGTGTGGCAGCACGATTGCATGCAACGGCACCCGCGAACCACCGCGTCCCGCGTTTTTTTCCACTTTCAAAACTTGTCTCACCAAACCGGGCGTTCACTGCCCTCTTAGTCTCTTTTTCTATTCAATATTTTTGTCATGTAACGATTACGTCGACGAAGCCGTAATTGTATTTAAAGAGCCAAACGCATGTACAGAGGTACTTTTTATTATAATTATTTCATCATTTCGTAACTACAGCCGGTCAAGAAACAGTTCCATGCACTTGAAATATAATTTGTCTTTTTGTTCGGTCCTAAGATTGAGATATGATAATGTACGTTAATAATCATATCGTTTAAATGAAAGAGTCGTATTAAAAATTTGCTCAATAGAGGTGTAAATTGTTTAAAGAGAATATTACATAATATATGAGCTATACAATATATTGTAACTGTTAAACTGTTAAATAACGCTGACTATATAGTCAGCGTTATTTAACAGTTTATCAGTTGATAATACATTCGTATTCTGTCAGATATTTTTCCAATAACAAAAAATGTTAAGTCAGGCTAACTTATACACATGTGTGTTCAAAATAAAAATGAGAAAAAAAAAACATATGAATTCATCAACAGGGATATGGAGATTATGATAAACTTAATTCATGCGTGAATCTGACCTTAAATAAAACAGTAGTTTTCTAAATTTAAATTGTAAAATTGATGTTGCGTTTAGTTTTACAAGTGAAGATTTTTAGGTTTATACATATCGTCTTAAAGTATTTAAATAAAGTATTTAAAATCGAGAGAGAGAGTAAAGGGCTTCTTGATGATCAGCATGCATTATGGTTTCTTATAACATTGTGTATGATTTGTAGGTAAACACAAGAAATCATTATGTAAATCGAATTAATTTCTTGGCTTAAACGCAATAAACTTATTTCATTACCTGCAATAATTATTAAACTATTCTCGTTTTCTGATATATAAGCTGCAGCGTGCAGTTTGTAGCACGGGCTATTGTGAGCCTTGTTTGACGAGCCCGCGCACTTTTACGCTATGAGTGCCGATCGCTAATGGCAGCACTTGCACCCGGTTTCTGAAACACTGATCAGCGTAGAAATTATTAACCAGCTGTCAAGTGGCTGGTTAAGAAGATCATTCTGATCAATTCAGAGAGTTTAATGAATATGATAAAATATAATTAAATTGCTGATTAGTTAATTTTTACGATGATCAGTGTTTCAGCAACCGGGCGTTAGGTTTCCACGCGGCTATACATGTTAATCATTTTTCGCCTAAATATTTGAAGATTAGTGTCTTAGTCTTGTTATTAAGTTAATGTTTTAAGATAATTAAATTATAAGTTTAAGGTTTAAGACGGGCTACAGTTACTCGAATCAAGCTTCTGGTCAAAGCTGGTTTTTGCGAAATGAGAATGTTTGATTGAAATGGGAATAATACGATGATGATTCTGTTTTGATTTTTCTTTAAATATTTATTAGAAAGGTACATTTAATAGACATCAGTAGAAATTAAATCAGGTGATAATTCAAAGACATTACCGCGGGGAAATACTTCAAATAGTGGTGAATCTCGAGGCAAAAGCTCTTCAACGACTCTTTATCTGGATAAGCGTAAACGCTGTCCAATGTCAAACTCAAACCATTACAAAAAGGTGGAAAGGGGAGGCCGTGCGTGTGAGAAGGGTAATTGGGCGCGCAGCGGAGGCATATGCGCCGGCCCGCGCCCCGGCAATAGCATGGCGATAGCATCTCGCATCGCGCATCTCGTGCCCGCTCAGGCCCAATGTTCGCGCTGCACTTTCATACGCTGGCAGACGGTGGCATCGTAGAGCTCTTTGCGCGTTTAATGCCTTAGCCATGTGCTGTTTTATTTTCCGCTTATGGAAGGCGATAGATATATCGATACGGAGATCAAAGTAGGTAAACGAATAAGTGCTATTAATATCCTTCAAATATTTTTTAATATCTTTCTATCAACTTATCTTGTATGTATAGAAGTTAGAAATATATGTGTTAAAATGCATCACATTTTATGTAGCAATTATAGAATTGTAGCTTACTTTTTAACCGACCTCAAAAAAGACGGAGGTTGCTCAATTCGACCGTATATATATTTTTTTATGTGTGTTCGCGGATAGCTTCGTCGTTTATGAGCCGATTTTGATGATTCTTTTTTGTTGGAAAGGAGATATCCCAAAAGTGATACTATAATAAGGAAACCCGGATCTGATGATGCCATCCCAGAGAAATCGAGAGCAATCCTCAAATGTTATAGAAATTGACAATGTTTTTAGTCCGGTTTTAATTCGGTTTTGTTTAATTAAAAATTATCTAATGGTTGGTCCATTACCAATTTTGGCAAAATTTCTTTCAAAGAAGACGTGTGTATTTAACAACTTTCTACTACATTGATAATTTTTATAAAGGTTCCAAAACCTGCATTACATGGTTTATTCTTCGTTAGTTGAAAAATTAATCAATTAAAAGGGTTTTAATTCGACGTCATAAATTTCTTGTTGATACTTTTAATTTTCTTTGCCATCTACTTAAACCTACCCTAGACATGTTTTTGTAGCACGATGGATATTATTAGGGTAATGGATATTATTAGGGTATTTCGCTCTTATTATTATTAAAAAAACTATCCAGTACATCCCAAAAAGTTAATTACCATTAAAACATGAAACGTTAAAGAAATAAAATGGCGCGGGTTCGCCAATCGAAGGACCTCTTCATTAGATTCAATTTATTGCGGGCGTCAGCGAAGGATTTCATTAAAATTCAGGCTGGCTGATAGCGACGGCAGTCGCGCGCCGTAATGCATTCAACCGGTCAAACAGTCCTCCCCAATCAATCAGAACGCTGGGTAGCTTTAATAGGCTCCCCACACGCCTGGCGTCTGGTGGGACCTCGCTTTCCCTTTCTAAATATCTCTTGCAATTCTGTGGCATACAAACATTGCATGAGTACATTCATTGTGTATGATAACAGGGTTCTAATAAATTACGTAATTCTAATAAAATAACGATCTAAGTTTACAAGTTCTAATCCCTAAGATATAGATGCAGATTTCTTCGTTTTTTAGGGTTCTTCCTTATCCAAAGGGTTAAACGGGACCCTATTACTAAGACTCCGCTGTCTGTCTGTCTGTTCGTCTGTCACCAGGCTGTATCTCATGAACCGTGATAGTTAGACAGTTGAAATTTTCACAGATTATGTATTTCTGTTGCCGCTACAACTACAAATACTAAAAAAAGTATAAAAAGATATTTAAGTGGGGCTCCCATACAACAGATAAGATTTTTTGCCGTTTGTATACATATACCCTGCCGTAGTGTGTTTTTCCAGTCTCTAGGTGTTTATGTCTGTATGATATATATTTATTTACAAAAGAAAGGTATGTTTAAGTATGTTTATCAGTTTCCTATTACCTACCCATAGTACAATCGTTGCTTAGTTTGGGACTAGAGAATGTTGTGTAAAAATGTGCCCGAAAATATTTATTTTTATCATTTTATTATTTAATGGTACGGATCCTTCGTGCGCGAGTCCGACTCGTACTTGTTGGATTTATTTTATGCATAAATATATGTTAATACGGTGTGTATGGTGAGAGGCTTGAACATCGGCCAAAAGTCCTTGGAATTTTTTATTATTCTGATTATTTTTTATTATTCTTCTTATGCCTTGTTAAATTTGTAAAGCAACAGTGTCAATATATACTTGCAAAGGGACCAGTGTCCCGCTAAGGCAACGCGGAACGATGGAGGCCGAAGTAGTCAGGATGATAAGTGGCAGGGCGACCGTTGCGAGGACATTAGCCGTATCCGCGGAACGGATAGCTAAAAGACGCGCGCCCCTGGCTCCCGCAATCGGTCTATTAGGGGAATAGATTAAGACGGAATATTTTAAAATACTCCATTGCTTAACATGCAATTGACGGCGCTCTAAGTACACAGCCGCAATATACGAGTATACTAAGGGCCTTTAATCTATCTTAGAAATCAAAACGTCATTGCTGAATTTATTTGTATAAAATCAAGCTCCACTGGATCTTAACGTATTGATTCGTATCAAAAATATTGATTATTATAAGAAATTTTGAGGTAACAGGTCAAGAATTGAACTTCCCAGATTCTAAATGAGGCAACGTCGACACTACTTTTGCAATCCTCTCTAGAGCTCACGTTCTATTCGGTGGTCACGATCTTGGAAACTGATAATGCTTCTGTTTAACACGAGATTTCGCCGTCGAGGTTGAAATTTTAAGGCGCTATCTTGTGTTGAAATAAACAATGTAGCGTTAATAAAACTCGACTAGGCACTATGACACTGGGCGTTCGGAGACGGCCCTCTCGAGTCGCAGTGTAGGATTACACGCGTGAAAGCGCCAAGGCCTTTGTCTTATTTCTTTTGTTTTCACTTTGAAATAACGAGATGAATGATAACGTAAAGTTTGAACGGTAGTAAAACTAGAAAACAATACAGGTAGCTGACGAGGGAAGAAGGTGTTTGCAATAAAAGCCTTCTTTAACAATCAGGCGCAAGTAATAGACCAACCAGCCACAGCGTCTACTAATATCTTTGAAAGATTAGGGCCTGTCAAACTGTGGTCCATAAAACAATATGCAAATTAACGATTTGTCACAGTTACAAGCTATTCCTGTCGAATAACTTATAAAAATTATTCAGTTTTTTTAAAGTTTTATAAGCGAGAGAAATGTTGTCACGTAAGTTATTTATGTTACGATTTCTTTGAAATGGAAGTATCGTAAGTGCAATGTAGATTTATGTATTGTAAAGAAAACAGTGAGTAGTGCGAACACGGCGTCGAGCGCTAAATAAACATGAGGGCCGGGCGGCGCGCTTTGTGGCCGCGGGACCCTCGCCTTCTTTACTTTGTCTTGTAACGCGGGAGTCTAGATTTAGCCACGGGAATGCGCCAATTCTCGTACATTTCGCACAAACTATTCGTCCCGGCCTATCCACAGGCGCGATATTATGCGGGTAGGCGTGAAACTCAAATGCATCACAATTCGGGATTTGCTAAAGCATTGGCCTTAAATACGTCAAGGCTCAACAAACTATTTACTTTTTGTTCCATTAACAGTAGTTTTATTTACAATTAAATTCAAGATAAAATTGAACAATTTTTATTGACGTGCGAGAAATGCCCACTCGTCAATGTATACTTGCCCTCGCGGGGTCAAGAGCGAGCTATCGAGTCGAACTCACAGCCACAACGAAAATCCACATATTGGCAGGATCACTGGGAACGAGGATAGGGAGAGAGGCGAAACGCAACATTTTGAAAAATATAATATTTAAAAACCTTAAAGCGAATGGAGGCTTATATTACGATGGGCATTTTAACTTTAAAATAATAACGGTCGGGCCACAAAAGGATAGGTCCATCCGGGGAAGTACCACGACCTCACAGAACACCGCTGTCAAGTGGAACTGTTATACTTCTACGTTTCGTCGCATGAATTGGGGGTCAATTTGTTAAATGGTTGGAATGCACAAAACCCTACGGGTGTTGCAAATGTGCATGGGTGGTAGCTTTCACTTGACATCAGGTGAGCCAACAGATTGCATGCTATTTTCTTACACAAAAAAAATACCATTAATGCATTTATCTAGCCAAGTCCTGTAGTTACCAGATGAATAAAATTTAGAAAATTATTTTTTACTCTATCCTTATAGATGATCAACATGATGAAATTTATATACGAAGGGCCGTAAGAGTTGTAAAGATTAATTAAATTTCCGCCTCGACTGCGCCCATGAGCGCGAGTGGTCCGTGGCAAGAGTTCTGCTCGTATTAAACTGGTTAGGCGTGACATCAGGAATGCAAACAGGCGTAAAGAATCAAATACATACACACGCAGTAAGAAAGAGACTAATGCGGATCTACTCACACGGGTTTTATTAAATCTACATTTATCAACAGGGTCACTGTTTGATCTATTATCGCCCAGCCCGCTTCTCTTGAAAGGCAAAATGGCATCCTTAAAGCGAGAACAGCACGCTAACGGCCATCATAGCTACTGGGCTTGCTGCCTGGGTGGCTGGTGGCTGGTGGCTGGCTGGGCAAACAGTGCCATTAAAGTAAAAAAAAAGGAAGTATCAGCCTATACATGTCGCACTGCTGGGCAAAAGCCCTCCTCTGGACAGAGGGTATTAGGGCATAGTCCACCAAGCGGCCCCACTGCGGATTGGTGGACTTCACATATCTTCGGAATATTTTTTTGGTTATTACTTTAAAAATGTGCTGGTTTCCTCACGATGTTGTCCTTCACCGCTAAGCACGTGATAATTCAGCACTTAAAATTAACAATATATATTAATAAATAAAGAGCCGTGATAGCTCAGTGCCCGGGCGCTCGCCTTTAATTCAATATATTCGAGCATCCTGAGTTCGGTCCCCGGTGCCGGCACCAATGAAATCAATGCCATAAGCAACATTTTATTGTTGTGTTAGCCGCTAACACAACAATATTTATTCGCGCTAACAGCTAGCGCGAATAACGCGTGAATGGAGCAGTGCGGAGTCGTGTCATGCGATCGCCCCACGGCCTCCCGCCTAACAACTAACACCATCTTTAAATCATTACTACTAAACCGCTTATTTACATTTACTAATTACTTGATACAATTATCTGTTTTAATAAGTTAAATTTCTAATAGTTGTTTTGGGGTCGTCGTACAAAGACTGGCGTTAGCGAATCTCATTAACGTGTTATAATAAGCTATCTTTTTTACGTATGAAAATCGTTGTACTACAATTTTGTTTCTGCCCCGTTCTTCTTAAAATGCAAAATGTCGTATGAAAGTTCTTCAGTAACTTATAAAAAATATTACTTTTCACGTTCCTTAGTCATAACAGGGTGGAGTCGGATGGCTAATGCCACCCGCATTTATTCAATGCAACCTATTTATAATAATTTCTTGTCTTACTCGAAAACTGTACATGGTGAAATCAAATTATTTTACAGATTTTACCGCCTTTATTACTTGCGGCCAACTAGAGCGAATTAAGATCAAACTTTGTCTCCAAAAAGTCTGAAATTTTTAATTTTATTTCGGTACATAATTTATTTAGAGCTACCAAAGTATAAAGATAGGCTTCGTCTATACACTTTTGGAGCATAAGGTAATGTAATAAGCGTCACTATGAAACAAAGACAAATTTGTTGACTCCGGAACAAATATTGTATTACGCGTGAGTTAATTTGTGGCCATGTTACGCAGCGAGTGCAAGTGGCCGTCTCCTCTTTCCATTGCGGTTCCACGCAGGCCACACGCACCGGCCACGCGGTGTCACTGACACGCTCTTCTGTTCTCACTACGTTTGAAATATATTATCCTTTCACCGAGATTATGGATTCCGCGTATTATTTATTCCTCGTAGAAGAATGGTAACCCCGTAGACGTTAGAATTGTTCACTGGTTCTTTGCGTTGAATTTTATCTTTTCTCTAATGATAGTAGAGAAACACTAACTTTTGTAGTAGGAGAAAAACTAACCTAACTTAAAATGTTTTAGACCACCTTTATAAGCAAAAATAGGAAAATATGAATTTCCCGTTAAAATTCCTCACAAATAAACCTCACCAAAAATAATATTGATGTTAATTAATAGATATATCTGAGCTCGAAAAATCAGATCAATTCAAATTAAAGATTTTTTTATTTAAGATTCTTGATCCGGAGGTTTTCAAATTGTTTAAGTGTCTTAGCATTGCGCTTTACGTTTAATCGTTGGCGAATGGAGTAGTTAGAGTGATGTGGGGCGAGCTGCGCTTGAGGAAGCTTTAATTAATGGACAATTTCCGAGATGCGTGGAAGTGGAACGAGCCCGCGATCGCGTCCGGCGCGGCGGCGATGCTCTCCCTAACAGATCCCGTGCAAGCTGTGAGCCGTATGGGGCACTTTGGTTTCGTATTCATTACTTAAACTTTCTCTAGTTTTAAAATCGTACTTTTAAAACCTAACTTATGTATATTTTTTGTGGGTGTTTTAAGTTATCTACTTATTGTTGTAGAGAAATACTTTAGTTTCTGTTGATGGAAGACGAATCGGTTAAAAATGCCTTCATTGATTTATGTTATTTAAAGACGGTATAAATTGACGGAGGCAATCTGTTTCCATCAGGTGAATCTTTATTTGTTTGACACTGTCTCGTTTAAAAAAATATTGTAGTCTGTGTAGTTTGAAAATTTGTCGTCACATATTATATTTTATAGCGACATCTTTAAGGCCCAACAAAAACGTTTAGCCAGCTTATGTTTTCTAACAGTGATATTTACGAATAAATAAATAACATATTATAACAAAAATATAACAACAGCTATTGTTTGAGAGGCGTGTTAAAATGCGTTACGTACTTGCTACCTATAGATAATGATGCATAATAAGGAGAAAGTTTTGTTATAATCTGATGTCTTGTTAAATCTAATAATAAACTGTTATAAAAATCAAAGTTACCCACAATGCGCAACACATAATTTTCTAAATCAACCGTTAAATTAAAACACTTCCTCAATAGTCGTTATAGATTCTTTAGTTTCCTTTTTCAAATATCATTCAATGTTTATCTCAAAAGTCTAAAAAAGTGGAAACCTATTAACTTCAATCGAAAAATCGGAAAGTAGTAACCGAATTATATTGATGACTCCGTGGCGCAGTTGCCAAGGTATTGTCTTCAGCTTCGGGGGTCGTGAGTTCGATTCCCACACGGGACAACTATTTGTGCGACCCACAGATAGTTGTTTCGCATCTGGGTGTTTGTCTAACGTGAAATTTATGTTTGTAACACGTCCCTACAACACAGGATAATGTTATCCTAAAGTAAGGGCAATGTTTTTTACCAAATAAAAAAAATAAAAATTATACTCTTATAGTGTATACATTGAGTAGCATTAACTAGATACCTAATTCGGAAAGTATTTTACTACCACTATTAAAACACAAAACAATATCATTTTAGTATAAAATGATATGCAAGCAATTTTCGTAGTCAATCGGTTCATTTCTATTATTTATATAATTATTACAATAATAGTAGTAAAAATATTATCGTTATTCATAAGACGCACAGTGGTTTGTCTGTATACAAGGAGACAACTATAGCAGGTTATAAAATCAAAATGTTTTCTTTCAATAAACTAAAAATATCATCGATTATATATTACGGTTTTAAAACGACGATTTCCATGTAGTATATTTATTACAAGCTGACAAAACGTAATTTCTTTACAAAATTGTACAACAAATAAAATATATTATTAAAACAAAGGACCTGTAACCCATTATGCACATGTTTATAATATAGAACAATAACACAACATTATTTAATATAAAAAACTAAACCTATGAGTAAAATCTACATATAATTAACAAATAATCTGTAAAAATATATAAATCTGGCAGTTAACATAAAATATTCTAATCATAAAATTTCCTAATCATAGAAAAATTCATAAGTGTCACTATCACTAGAATCATCTTGGAGCATTGAAGTGACGTCTTTAAAATCAAGTCCATTTCTAAGTACAAGTAAATTGTTATCTTCGTTCGTATCTTCTATACTGTCTTCATTCTTGGTCGCATGCTAGTTACCACTGGGTCAGACGAGAGAAGTAGACATAGATATAATAGACTCTTCTCCAGACGATATACATTGTAATATTTCAAGTCTCCATTTGATCCAAACTTGATTTATTCGCAAAATATAAGTCAGATTGAACATTTATTGTTGTTCTTAATTTGTAGATCGCGATATTATTTTTATTTTTAAAGCCGCTATTTCCGGCTCCTTGTATGGATAATGTATAAAAGCTTTCGTAACAAACACTTACAATAAAATGCAGTTTCATGAGACATCAAATGTCTACTACTACTGGATCCGATCTCTGCTGTTAACTGGATCTCATGAGTGTAAACAGCTTCGTAAGAACCGTTGGTCGATCTATTTTAGTTGTCGCTTTATTTTTTGTTAAGTTTTTTGTTCCACTTACTCGATTAGTCAGAATATTTAAATCAGATAAGTGTTATACACGATACTAGGGTTGTCACTTATCTTCTGTCGCGATTTATGACGCTCTTCAATGGCACTTACGTGATCCTATTCGGCATTCTATTTGCACGCGTCCACATAGCTTCAAGAGCATACTTTAACGCCGCCTCTTCTTTTCAGTTCAAGTTATTTCCCTACGTTTGGGAAAACTGACTTAAAAAAATACTGGTCTCGCTTAGTAAAGAAGCATGAATGGGCTAATTGCGATTTTAAATAGTGGTGATCCGGATTTTTTTAATATAAGTTTCTATACCTTGATGTAAGCGTTGGTCAAGATTTTATAATGACGACAATAATAACTTCAACGAAATAACGAGGTGATCGACCCTCGAAGTATAAAAATCTAAACTCATGCTCACGGCGAGCAGTCGCGCCGCACTTGACAAAACGTTGGATCGAACCTGTCAAATCAATGGCATATATTTTTTGTAATGACGGGCTGGAGACGGGCGGCTGCCTATTTTTTATATTAATGAGCATTTAATAACGAAGGCAACCGGTCGGCGATGAATTATTGAATATCCACCGCGCTCGGTCGCCTCGCTTATTACACGGAATGTCCCCTGCGCATTAGCGCGAATTAATTCTCGGCTAACTCATCACTCGTCTCATAAGAATTATACTCCGAGCTCCGACGCGGAGCCTATCCGCCCCCTTGATGGATAACTCTATCAGTCCGAGATATAATTCAAACCCCTCAGATTGTGTCGTAATGGTGCATTTCCACTGTGAAATTGTTCGTTAAGCTACGCAGGCCGTATATGTTTAGTACAGATTTAAGTTCGTGGCGCCATCTTGTATCCAACCATCGCAAAGGCAAGTGCGGACGACAACACATCGTGAGTCAGTTTTCCTAAGCAACATCCAGCCTTAAGCATTTCTACCTGCGTCGCAAGATGGCGGTGGTACAGAGTAGAGTAGAATAAATCTTGTGAGGTAATATGTTATGTACTCGATTTGTGTACTATGTACAAATTATGTGCTTTTGTTGCACACAGTACAATCAGATTTTATGAACCTTGAATAATTCAATTAATCCACTAATTGAAAAACTTTTTTACTTAAACCAAAATTGTCATAATATTTTATAATGGTGGACTTCAAATGTTTTTATTGAGGGATTATTCGCTAATATCCCATGTTTAGAATATGTAGTCCATATGCGAATTTTATAAATACGACTTTTGAAAGTTTCTTTAATTCAAAAGTGCACTTTCTTTATTTTTTTATTAACATTAAGCACGTTTGGAAATTTTTACAACTTTGAGTTTGATCCCTTCTGTAGAGAGAAGCAATTTTTTTATCTTTTTGTATACTGAATAATATTTATTAAAGTTTCATTTCAATCAGGATCACATTTTTTTTATATAATGCACTTCACTTACAACTGTTTCAATACTTTAGACATCAACGCGCTCGATGTTTGTCAACAGCTATTGTTGAGTTGACTTCTCTTATATTAAGTTTTAATGGCTTCTCTTATATTAGATTAGATTGTCGATCGTTTATTATGTTTTAAATTACTATAAAATATTTATCTTGCAATATGTTAAAGTGCCAAGTAAACAGGCGGTTCACCTGATGCTAAGTGATTATCGCTCTCCATGGACATCTACAAGACCTGAGGAGGTTGCGGATGTTTTGATACGCTTTTTTAAGAGTAGCCCAAGTTAATTAATTCAACTGACGGAGTGCAAAAGGACTATACTTCCATTTTATGTCGGTCGTTGTTAAGGTTGTGGTATTTCCCCGGATGAGCCTGAACCTTCGTGCGTTATAGCAGGAGCTGTTACGATTTTTTTTTAACCCAACCACAGAATTTTTTTTGAATGAAAAATAAAACTGTTGCCTTGTTGCTTAATGAATTTATTATTAATCCTTTTTAATTTGCTTATATTCTTAATAATTTTATTTTATAGGTTCCTGTTTTAGGACCTTGATTTTCGAAAACTATGATGAATAGGATCTACATCATAGAATCTGTTGATGTGCCTTCGTATTACAGCTGACTTTAGTATCGTCCGATGCAAATATTCAGGACCACTGTGGTTGCGCGTGCAAAGGCCGAGGCGGAGGCATCAAATTCGCCAACTGCGAGGCGTGTCGCCGCGGCCCCGAACGAGTCGTGGGTTAGAGATTACGCACGTCTCGACAATGATAACATTCTTCGCGAGGGCCTAACGGTACCACGGGGAAATTACCGACGAGTACCGGCTCTCGTGCTCACTAGAGCTGCCTGTCTGCCTGCGGACCAGTTTCGTCGATATTTTTTTTAAACAATTTGATTTAGGCGGTTCGCCTGATGCTAAGTGATTACGGCAGCTGACGTACACAACACAACTAAGATGCTTCCAATTATGTCACTAAAAAAAATCTAAAGTATTAAATAAATGTGTAATATTTAACGCCATCTTCTATGAGGAACAGTAAAAGCTGCTGCGTGGCCCCACAACATAATTTTGCATCGACAATGCAAATCAAAAGAAAAAAGTGCACAATTACAAGTGGTAACCAATGGAGGCGTTTTAATAATGCTTCCTTAGAACTATATCGTTAGCTAGTTAATATAACGTTTTAATTATTGGAAGTGTCGTTATACAGTTCTCATGTTATAATACATATTATAATTATTTAGTTTTGAATTTGACACATTTGTCATTCCGCGTACACTAGTCCCATCTTCAGCATACGAAACATAAAACTGAAAATATAAAAACCGGCCAAGTGCGAGCCGGAGTCTTCCGAGCCTTTATCTACAAAAACGGCAAAAAGTCATATTTATTGAATGGGAGCCCCACATAAATATTTATTTATTATATTTTTTTGTAATCGTCGCTATATCGGCAACAGAAATACATTATCTGTAAAATTTCAACTGTCTAACTATCACGGTTCATGAGATACAGCCTGATGACAGATGGACAGACAGACAGACAGACGGCTAAGTCTTAGTAATCTGAATAATAAGGATCCCGTTTTACCCTATGGGTACGGAACCCTAATAAAACGGCTTAAATGCTCAGATTATAAAAATCTTTATTATTCTTTAAAAGTAAATTAAAGCTGAAGAAACAAATGCATTATAATATAAGGTTGGGGAAAAAGTCTTTTCGCAAATAGTATGTATAAACTTATAATATAATCTCTTTGTCTATACCATTTCTATCTGTCTGGTTTTGGTATTATTAAAAAGTTAAAATTTTAAAAAAGATAATTCCAAATTCAAATTAGGACAATATGTGATTTTCATTAGTTTTTCTTACTGTTAAGATGAGTGATTCTAATGAAGAAATTCGATACATTTTGAAATTTTACTACCAAATAGGTAAAAATACGCAAGCCAAGCCGCGAAAAAATTTGGGATGTTCATGGACCTAGTGCAGTGTCTGTGAGAGTAGCACAAATTTGGTTTAAGCGTTTTCAATCCGGAAATTTTGATGCCAAAGATGCATCACGCTCTGGACGCCCTGTTACGGATAAAATGGATGCCATTTTTGCAAAGTGGAGCAAGATCGGCATATTAGTAGTTACGATGTAGCTGAAGATCTGACTACAAGACAGTTTTGGCGCATTTGAAAAAAGTTGGGTACACAATAAAGCTCGATATTTGGGTGCCTCATGAGCTCACTGAAAGAAAACTAATGAACCGTGTACTCATTTGTGATTCTTTATTACGACGTACCATATTTGAAAAACCTGATAACTGGTGATGAAAAGTGGATCACGTACGACAAGAACGTGCGAAAAAGGTCGTGGTCAAAGGCTGGTCAGGCTTTACAGACTCTGGCGAAACCCGGGTTATCTCGCAGATTGGAAGGGCATTATTCATTATGAGCTGTTACCGCCAGGCAGGACCATCGATTCTGAACTCTACGGCGAACAACTGATGAGATTAAAGCAAGAAGTTGAGAGAAAGTGGCCGAAATTAATCAATAGAACGGGTGTGGTTTATCATCATGATAACGCTAGTCCTCACATATCTTTAGCCACTCAGCAAAAATTAAGAGAGTTTGGCTGAGATGTGTTAATGCGTCCGTCGTATAGTCCTGACCATGCACCTTTAGATTTCCACTTGTTTCGTTTTCTTCAGAGTATTTTGGGCAGTGTCAGGTTAACATCACGAGAGGACTGCCAAAACCACTGGTCGCGGTTTTTTGATCAGAAGCCGAAGAATTTCTATAGCAATGGGATCGTCCCTACCTACAAGATAGCGATGAAAGTTATCGAACAAAATGGCACCTACATACTTTAGTTAAATGTAAATAAACTTTATTAATTTTTTTAAATTTTCCAATAAAAATGCGAAGAAACTTTTTCCCCAACCTATTATATTACATGATTCATCGAACTACATTCACATCCCTATGTGAGTAAGTGTACGTGCACTTAGATGTACACAAATACACCATAATAAACTGAAAATGTATCGGATTCCACTCTTCCCTCCGATTAAAATGAATTGTCTATTGTGTCAATTTGTAATTGATAAAAGAATGCATTCGTGTTAAAAGGGCACGAAATAAATCAATAGCTAGCGGTTTGACGATTTAGATAGATGGTGTGGATTGACGGTATTTGCATAATTAAGCACTAAGCAAGAGACGAGATAGAGTTCTCTGGCGAGCATTCACGCTTACTGCCAGACATAATGAAAATATTTATAGATATGTGTTAATATTACGGTATATAGTTACGTATTTATTTACTTTACGTAACCCAAGCGCCTTGATTGTTGGCATAGGTAACGTAATTCCATATAGGTAAATACATAATCCTGAATCCGTGAGCCTACCCATGCGCGACACTGGCGTAATGCGCAAATAATCTCTATAGTGCAATGTTACAAGGTCATAATATAAGCAAATAACCCTAGAAAAAGACTTTCTTTTTACGTATTTTGGCATTTGTCGAGATACTTGAAGACGTGACAGTTGTGGTGCTAGTGATTTTAATGGACAGATATCTTTGTGCCAAAATTATTTCTTTTATTTTCATCGACATTGGACTTTTTGACTCCTAATCTCTGTATAATCAAATAAACATTTTTTTTTTTTAGAAAGCATTAAACAAAAAATAATCACATTTAGAATATGTTTAATGTGTATGTCACTTTTGTGTTTAACACTTTGTACTTCTTCACCCAAAGCTCTCATTAGATCCTATCCGGTACGGTATAGAGAATTATAAGCCAACATGAGTGTCATGAAATCTGCCGACCCTATCTCGTTTTGAACTCTCAAGTATGCAAGATGTATTAAGGGACTCTATCAACTGGAGAAGCATATTAACAAAACGAAAATCAAAGTTGATTGTCGGATTAAGCTCTAGTTTATTCCTGCTGAACTATCTGGCAAATGGATGGTAACGGTGTGAGGCATTAGGTGAGGGCCGCGGTGGGGCGGTGGCGGGGTGGCGGTGAGGCGGCGGTAGGCACAGCTTTCGGCGAGCTTACAAACAAACAAACCTGTTCACCGCCCGCGCCCCTCGCCCTCCCCCCGCCCCCACCTGCCGCGCCCGCGCACATTATCCGCTTAAATGCATGAAATGAACCTTTAGCATCGCCTCTCCAAAGTGACCTGCGTGAATGTATAGTAAGAGAATTGCAAAGTAAAATTTAACACGAGCGTTCTCCAATATGTTCGTGCTCACTTTTGTATCCAGGTGAGATATATCTATAGGTATGCCGCTTGAAATTCTTCACCATAATATTTCATTCCATTATGGTCGGCAATCAAAGTAACCACGCACCTTAATGCTGCTATCATTTGAAATGGTGCAAATCTCTATTAGAATAACCTCTTATGGTCACTCCGATGGGGCCGTGACACGTCTTCTTTATGTTTTTCTTTATTTATTATATTCGATTCAAGCAGGCGGTTCACGTAATGTTCAGTGAATACCGCCACCCGTGGACATTTACCTGAGAGATTTTGATCCCAAGAAGGTGTCTGTTGGAGGCGGTCGCTGGGTTTGATGATGCGGGGTACGGAGAGTGGGCTGGTGGTGGGGGTAGAGGGGGAAGGGGGAGGGGTGTGCGGGCGGGCGCGGTAGCCCCACAGTACGCGAAAGGACGTGCGCGTGAGTGGTCGCCGCTATCGGCAAAGAGCGGCGCGGCCGCCGAGTGTGATGCGAGCGTGCCGCCCGCCATGGCCACGCTCGGCCTATCCAAGGTGTTCATCCTTGACAAGTACTTCACTGAGCTGCAAAAGTTCTGGGAAACGGAAAAGAAGCTGCAAGGTGAGCGGGCGTGCAGTGCCTACGCTGCTCCCATTTGTGTATGTTGTGACGGGCCACTCGTTTCGGCACCGCCGCGCCGAAAGCTCCACATTTCTCCAGCTGTGAACGCGTACTCGACCGCGTATGTTCGTGCTCTTGCGTTTTGTCGTTTGCCGTCGGGTCTCAGGTCGTATCCGCCTCGTCCGGTGAGTCATAAATGTCATACTACGAAAGAGAAATGCGTCGTGAGCTTCATTGTTTTACTTACTATAGTTTTTCGGTGAGTATATACATAGAAAGAGTCCAACAACGATCCATGATTAAAGTCAAGAATGTCGAGAACATTCGTGCTTAGTCTTTTGTTTGGTGGTGGTGCGTGGCGTGCATGTTGTGTCACTCGCAGCGGGCACCTCTCGCCGCCCATTTATGTTCGAAGGGCCGCCGCGCCGAGCCGCGCCGCGCTATTCACTATCTATTACGAGAGCATCGTGACGCACCGGCCACGACTCGTTTGACTGCTTCTTTAATTAAAACAAAAAAGCTCTAGGTTACAAACTCGACATCGTATTATTTCGTTGAACAGTTTTCTTTTAGTTTATTTTCTGCTGTGGCTTGTTAATGAAGATAATTAAAAAAAATATAAATAAATATAATAATTATTAATAGTAATTATCCACGATAGTTATGTATGTAAACACGGCAAGGGAATACAACCCTAAACGCCACAACACTGCTACGCTTGAGTAAATTGTCTGGAAAAACCACACACTCGCTAATGAGAGTGGGGAAGTAGTGTCGCACATTTTTTTAATCGTGTGTAGCACGGATTCCGCGGATGGAGCTTCATTATAATGTTTATTTATACCTTTGCCTTTATACCACTTATTTATGTGTCTATATATTTTAAACCGACCAAATTTTTTCCATAGATGTTTGCAATAAAGAAATACATAAATACATATAACAAAATATGTACTATTTATTATTACATAATAAGTAAAAGTTAATATTAACGCAAAGGCGTTAGCATCTTATCATACCTCTTTTTAATATTTATGAAAGTTTTCATAATAATATCTATGGTATTTGCTTGTAATATGTATTAGAAATACCAAATTATTTACATGGAGTGACTTTTTGAAACTTCAAGATGAAAATGCAACCCTATAGTTGTGTAATGTATTTGAAGGAATGTGAAATTTTTCCAAAGCTCGGGTATTATTTAGTCGCTTTCATCTATCGGTGGAGATTCGGTTGTGCGTGCATGTGTTTATGATCGGTTGGTGTGTTATGCAAACTGCAGGCTGCGCGCGGTTAACGGCATGTAATAAACGAGAGGATCACGGTGGGGGGAGGGCTCGTGGGGCTAGAGGGGAGGGGCAGGAAGGGGGGGGGGGGGGCAGGTATCTAAACAAGCCGTGGAACGCGTTTCAGCGCGGGGTCGCATCGACTTTCTGAAGTTGTCCTCAATTTGGACACGTTTACATTCGGAAACATTGTGGCGGTCCTGCAACAACGCCAGAAAATCGATTATGAATCTCCTACAATTTCAAGCACTAAAAGAATGCATAGACCCAGTTTTAAATCAATTAATTAGAACGAGAGAGAAAGACCAGATATTTACTGAATTGTTTTTTCTTGACACAGAAATTCGAAAATTAATTGCAGTCCATACTATGTCAGAAGATGATATGGATTTTGTGTTAGATTCATAGTAAATAAGTAATAAAATTTAGAATTCTTTCGTGTTTTTTTTATTTTTACCATATAGCATATGAAGTGCTTTTAAGGCAGCCAAAGCTTTTCGCGATTTTGTTCACTGCGCGTTGAAATCTTTTCTCTGCTCGTAAGATATACGTTATTACGTAAAGAACTAATAAATAATCTTGCTAATGTACATTAGGGAAATAAAACTGTTAGTTTCATTACATAATAATTCGAAATAATTTGCTTTTGTTACATTTTGAATGTCATACTTTCAAATAAGAATATAAAAAATAAAAACACAATGTACCCATTAATAATAATCACATTTTGTGTTTTTCATTTGGCTTACTTACATACATGAGTAATTGCGGAAAGAGTCTCTCCGTATTCTGTAAAAAAATATGAGAATAGCTTTTGCTGACATTATGAATTAAAATTAAGATAACATTTATAAATTACATAGATTTAAAAGTTAACGAATTGATTTAAATTTATTAGCAATATAGGAGCTTTTGTTAAGTATGCTTCGGAGTTATGGCAGCAAGTAAGACATTATTATTGTTTTATCTTCTTAAATATTCAATAATAGAAATAAATCTTGATCTCTTGGCACCTGGCACTTTACGCCTAGCCCATTTACTAGCCCCCAAAACAACCTGTAGATGGCCTTTATTAATACCAAACAAATTGTTTTATTATCAACTTTTTTATATCTTTGTTTTATAGATTCAAAATTCCGTATGTTTATTACTTTGCTTATCAACTCATGGTCTATGATTTTGCTCGATAGTAAGTGAGATAAAAGTGTACCATGATTATTTTGCACATGTCGTTATTAATTAAATTTCTTAATAAATTCACTATTAAGAATTGATAATTTTATAAACACTTTAATATTTTTTCCAATAACTCCTTTTTTACTTTACAACTTTTTTATATATAAAAAAATATTTAATTTTTTACGCCACGTGCATGAATTGAAAAAGATAGGAAAATTATTTGATGTTTGAAAGTATTCCATCACGTACGCATATGTATTTGCGATGTGAGTATACAATAAAATGCTGTCGTTGGGAATGCGCGTAAACAATTTGTCCGTGGGGCCTGTTTATAAAAAGGAAACGGCTCTACCTGGCGCGCTCGAGGCCACTCGGACGCCCGCGCTCCCTACGCCACGCGATACGCCCTAACATACGACGCTACGCAAAGCACGCGAAAACATACCAACTCTTGCCTTTTTTGGGCGGAGCTTAAATTCATTTTAATAAATTGTCAAATCTCTTTTCAAAATGTTAATAAACTTCCAAAACTTTTACGAGTACACTAATTGCCTATTATTGTACAAAGTTATGGCTGACATAATGTCATGTAAACAACGAGATTTTATTGGTTTTGGGCGTATTTTTATGCAAAATTTGGATGTTTTTAACAAAATGTAATTCTTTTTTTAAAATAATACTCTTACTATCAGCTATTAATATCTTAATAAAGGTTTTATTAAGAAATTAATTCCACGTTTTAATATCAGTAATGTTACAGTATTAAATGATTTTTTTTTATTTTCCAAAAATGCACAATTTTAATGTTTAAGCCTCTGTAGAAAGACGCGAATCAATGAAGCCTCAAACATACAAGGATATCACTTTTGTTGATTAGCGCCACGTCGAAACTCGCATCCGAAAATAACGACCAAATTAATTTATTTATAGCCACGGGCACAGCGAAAACTTATGAAAAACACGTTTAAAGATTTAGTTATTAGAGTTTGAGCAGTATCATATCAGTTTATCAGTATGTTTTAAAAAAAATCACAATTTTGTACGTAAAGAATTAATTCCATAGGAATTTTGCTTGATTCCTTACTTTAAGTTTACGAACGAGAAGAGTAAATTGTAGCCGAGGAAAGTCCAATAAATCGTTCGCGCCGGCGAACGGCGGAAAGGGGCCTTAATTGAGGGCCCTCGTGGCTTTTTGCGCAATAAGAGGGTGCGGAGGGACATGAGTGCCGCGACCCGTTTTTACTCCTACGGGAGAGCGGCCATGTAGCGCCAATCGGCCATAATACTAGATCGGAGGCTAGTTATACACGCCATATGAAAAGTTTCCTCTGAATACAGGCGTTTTTGTCGCCGCCCCAGCTACGAGCGAAGTGGCGCCCTTCTACGGCGCAAATCATTAAGCCATTGGCCTTATTAGGATAAAAAATCTATCAACATAGGCTGTAAAAGTACTTGTCAATATTCAATACAACATTGCTCTCACTCAATCTGTACCTATGTAACATTGTTGTGAAAGTAGATGAACTTCACCACATAATTCTCATTGTTCACTCTAGTAGAGCCATGCTCCACTCTCCGCTGCTGCACTAATGAGCAGCTGGTCCGGGGAAGTACCGTGGTTGGTGTTCTGTCAGAAGACCGACGTAAAGTACAATTATTATACCTTCGCATGCGCGTTTCTTCTAGTGAGTGAGGAAACCTGAGCTCACTTTTTCAATGGTTGGCAACGCATCTGCAACCCTTCAGGTGTTTGTGGATGACCATGGGCGGTAGTGATTACTTAAGATCAGGGGGACCGAGTGCTTGCTTACTAACTTTTTGCATTAAAAAGATTGAATTTAACAGGCTTCAAAAATGCATGTACGTGCAATAATTGCCTCCGGGATCAGGTCATTGAGACTCGTCTAAGATGCAGTTTTTTCTTGTTGGACTCTACTCTTCTTAATTTATTTAATTGCGCGTCGCAAGACAGAAAGTAGTTCTTATATCAACGCTGTCTTCGATCGCTGTTGGTTTTTTTTAGCGTAAACCATAACGTTACACGTTCCTAGATGGAAAAAGTAACAGTTAATTTATAATGAGGCAATAGGAATATGAGCAGTGTGATCGGTTTGTTGTGTGATTGTATGAAAGTGTGGAGTTTTCATCTGTCTTAGGACCAACAGCGCAGCAGATAAATAATTGCCCCGCATTATTTTACTCTTAGGTAGTGCACGTTTTTATAATTCCAAACGACAATACAATTTCGTCAATCAACATTATCGCTGTCACAAATGGTATAAAGTCACTCGAGGTTAGAACGGTTAACACAAAAAAAACTTGTTTTGTCTCGCAGGTTCTAAGAGATTGAGATTTCGATATCCTAAAAAGGGTCTTAGTGGAAATATTACTGTTTAGTCTCGCAGGCGAGGAGACATCAAAGTTCCTACAGAATCTTGCAATAGAAGTTAAATATATTAACTTTTTAAGTATGAACTCTGATTCAATTATTTGTTAGCGTTTTAGCAATGGACAAGGAAACCGAATCAATTTCCGCTCATCTTGCACGAATGTTAGCCGATTTTCATTCCATTAATTTCGGGGCTCAATAAATAAACAATATAATACTTATCAAGAGTGTGTGTGAGTGTTCTGGAGTTTCTCTCCTAAAAGTTCAACAGGAAGAGGAAGTTTTTTTTAATTAGACTGATGTGTCCCACGTCAGTGGAGGTGTAGGCCACATGCCGCTCGAATGAGCTGGCGGCAAAAGAGCGTCTCTCCATATAAATATGCACTACGCTTACCAATGAGATTGTTATTTGCAATTTAAGGTGATGACTTATCACGCACTCATCGGTGAAGAAAAACATCGTGGGGAAACCATACCAGTTTTTGGAAATAATAAAAAAAAATGTTTTCGAAATATCCGTGATGCGGTTGCATGATGCACTATGCCCTATATATTTAACGTTCAAAAAGAATTATTTCACATTAATCGGTCTTTAACGACTGTTTAAGTCATTAAATAAAACAATTCAGATATAACC